TTTTTTTTTTTTTGGCAGAACTGGGGATTGAACTCAGGCCCTTGAACTTGCCAGGGAAGCGCTTATTCTACTGAGCCATCTCCCCGGCCCCTGAGGAAGGAAGACTGCCATGAGTCTGAGGCCAGCCTGAATTCCGTATCAAGACCCTGTCTGAAAAAAAACAAAACAAAAATGAAAGAAAAACAAAAACTCAATATATGCATACTTTTTAAAATTGTGGTGCATGTATACAATGGAATATTACTCAATCATGAGAAAAAATTAAATACAGACACTGCACGTGGCTAAAGTTGGGAAGCATGCTGACTGAAAGAGTGGACATAAATGGTCACAAATTGTCTGACTCAATTTCAAGGAAACACTGTGGACAGTAAATAGATCCTTAGGGGCAGAAAGCAAAAGTGGTGGGTGCCAGGAGCTGAGGCCACTGAGGACTAATTGCTGACAGGGCACAGGTACTCTTTGGGGGCTGATGAAAACGCTTTGGATGTAATCTCAGCAGTCGGGAGGCTGGGGCAGGAGGATCGTGGCAAGTCTGAGACCAGCCTGGGCTACAAAGTGGACTCAAGGTCAGCCAGAGCTGCATAATGAGACCTGGTCTCAAAAAGACAAAGAAAATGCTTTGGAGCTACATCAAAGTGGAAGTCACACAACAATATCAATCTACTAGGGCCAGCCAGAGAGCTCAGCGGACTAAAATGCCTGCTTCAGCAGAGCACAGAGGTCAGGATTCGATCCCCCGCGTGCCGTGCCGGCCCTGCCCCTGGGACGCGCTGAGAGGGCAACTGAGACTGGGCGTGGTGGCGCCCACCTGTAGTCCCAGCGCTTGGGAGGCTGAAAACAGGAGGATTACTACGAGTCCAATCTGTGTAGTGAGACTCTGTAGCCCCTGTACTAAATACATTTTAAAAGTTAAGGAAAGGGCCAGGGAGATGGCTCAGTGGAGTAAGCACTTCCCTGGCAGGCGCAAGGACCTGAGTTCAATCCCTGGTTCCACCAAAAAAGAAATAAAAAATCAGCACTCAAAATGTGGCATTAATAGATACTAATCACTACAAGAAAAAATGCTGAACTAAAAAGTTAAGGAAAAAGAAAAGAAAGAGGGGTCGGGGAGATGGCTCAGTAGGATAAGCTCTTGACCGGCAAACGCAAGGTTCTGCCAAAAAAAGAAACTAAAGAAAGAAAAATCAGGCAAAAACTGTACATATGCTCTTTAACTTTACAGCGTGGTGTTACTTCACCAAGGTCTGTAAATGGAGGAGTCAACTGACAGCCACCAGCTGCAATTGAAGACTAATTGTCAAAAAAAAAAGATTGTCATGCGCTGCCAACCTCTTTTGGTTTATCTTTGAAGGCTAGAGGTTTCCATCTAAATATATTTTTTTCTTATGTTTAGATGGGGTTGGAATCCATTTATCCAGTCACTTCTTTATCTGTCTGTTTCCAAGAGCGGGACGGCCTCCTGATCCTCCGAGCCAGACTGAGGCAGATGCTAAGTGACAGGCTGCCCAACTATTGGTACCAAGTAAGAGCTTATTATTTATGGGCCTATGATATGCCAAACTTACTTGTGAGTAAAGTAAGCAAGCAAGCCCTATCTCAGTCCTTACAAGAGCCCAATGGCCTAGGAGAATTATTACCTTTGAGACAGGGTCTGCCTATGTCACCCAGGCTGCCCTAAAACTCACAGCAATCCTCCTGCCTCTGCCTCATGAACTCTAGGGTGGGTTACGGGCATGCACCACCACACCTGTAATGGATTCCAAGTAGTAGTATTTTTGTTTCGTGGGTGTGGAAACTGAGGCTCAGCATACCTCTCTTAATTCTGTGCCATTTACTGTAGTGTTGGCTAAAGGCCAGTTGTCAAGACATTCTCACAGTTGCCTTATCATAGGGTGAGTGACCCACTGCTTCCAATTTACAGGCATCAAAACTGCTAAGAGTGATGCTCTAAGCCGCAAAAAGAATGACAGGTCGGGAGGAAGGCCAGTCAGGGACTGCAGGGAACCCCAAAGCGTCAGATATGTAGGTATCCCCATCATCCTTAGCTGAGTCTTTTTTATACTCTAGCCCTACGGGTCGCGGGTAGGCCTACGCCCAGCCGCTTTGCTGACCGGCTCGCCCAAAATGTTCATCCAAAGGCTGTCGCGCGCGCCTCGTACTCTGGGAAAACCGCAGGAAGGCGCCTTAGAAGGACCCAGGAACATTCACCGTAGTTGTCTTAACTTTTGCCTGAGAAAGATGCGTCTTTATGGGACTTATTTTTTTTTTAAATATTTCCCAATCACCACCAAAGATTGAGACTAGGATGGGAGGCCCTTCGGGAAAAAGTCCTAGCCCTGAGCGTTTTAGGCACGGTAGGCACCCACTCGGGCAGCCTGTCTCGCAGAGTGCCTTCACTCTTGGCTCCAGGGCTTTCAGACACCGTCCAGCAGCGGCCGCCAATCAGCTTCACGGAGTAGCTGAGGGGGCAGGACTAGTCCTTAAAGGAGCCGCGACTGCTAAGCAGACTATAGAGTGAACCGGATAATGGCGGCCGGCATGGCCCTAGCCCTAGCCCTGTGGCTACTACTGCCGCCAGTGGGGGTGGGAGGGGCGGGGCCCCCTCCGATCCAAGACGGCGAGTTCACATTTCTGTTGCCAGCGGGGAGGAAACAATGTTTCTACCAGTCAGCGCCTGCCAACGCAAGCCTCGAGGCCGAGTACCAGGTAAAAAGGGTCCTGGACCGCCGAGCTAGCAAAGGCCAGGGGGAGGGGGCTAGGCGTGCAGTGAAGCTGGGACGTGGGAGGGGTCATCGCATGGAGAGCGAGGGCGGAGCCAAGGGAGAGCTCTGACGGAGGGGGCGGGGCGACCGTGGGAGCGGGAGGGGTGGGTATAGTAGGGGGCGGGGTTTAGCCTGGCACAGCACAAAGGGTCGGAGTCATCGGAATGAAAAGGAGCCATTCAGAACAGGACTCTCGGGATGGGTGTGGTCAGTTGGTTAAAAAGAAGGCGTGGCCCACAGGAGTTCACCGAGGTTGGGTTAGAGGAAAAGCCTTATAGATTTTTTTGGAGGGATGTCAAGCAAAGGAGTGTGACCAGGTAAACCTCCATCAAGGACTTCGACGGGGGTGTGGCTAATGAAAGATCCCGCCTTATCCCTGCTGGCAGGGGCGCGGCTGCAGAGCGACATCTGGGGGCGCAATCCGTGGTAGTCTGGGTGGGAGCCCTCAGCAGGCTGTGAGGGTCTGGGCCAGCTGGTTCAGCCCAGGACTTCTCCAGCAGGCGCCCTGGCCTAGCTGGGTGTCTCCACCCTTTTTTCCCCCCTTTGGTGCTGGGAATCAAACTCAAGGATCTCGCGGGGCTTGCCAGGCAGGCGTTGTATGGTGGGTGAGCTATATCCTAGGCTCTCCGCCCATTCTTACCTGCCCCCAGGTGATAGGAGGTGCTGGGATGGACGTGGATTTCACGCTGGAGAGCCCTCAGGGAGTGCTCTTGGTCAGTGAGGCCCGCAAGGCGGATGGGGTGCACACGTGAGTTCAGTCCTGCTACCTGGCCCGGTTGGGTTACAGCCCTGCCCCTCCCTGGTGGCCTCGGGTTTCGGCCCTGGCTGTCCCAGAGTTCTGCTGGCCATCAGGGTCAAGTCTGTTATGTTCTGTGTCTCTTATCAGGGTGGAACCGACAGAGGCTGGTGACTACAGGCTATGCTTTGACAACTCCTTCAGCACCATCTCTGAGAAGCTGGTGTTCTTTGAGCTCATCTTTGACAGCTTGCAAGATGACGAAGAAGTGGAGGGCTGGGCAGAGGCCGTGGAACCCGAGGAGATGCTGGATGTCAAAATGGAGGACATCAAGGTGCGCCTGGCCCTGCCCGGGCTGGGCCACCCCTCCTTGGTCGCCAGCACTGGCAGCAGAGTGCTGGCTACTCTTCCTCTTTGACTGGAGTCTCCACCCAGGTGCCCTCCCAGATAGTGTCCCCAACTTTATATGGTGCCTCAGTTAAATAGTTTATTTCTAGGTGTAAAGCCTGTTTTAGACAGGGTCACACTATGTTGTTGTTAAGTTGTCCAGGCTGGGCCCAATCTTGCAGTCCAACTGCCTCACCCTCCCAGAGTGCTGGGATAACTAGTGTGTGCACACACCCGGCTAACTCCTGTTTTATGTTGTAAATCATACATAAGCAGTCTCCAGAACTATCCCTTGAAGTAAGTAAATCCTGTGCTCCAAGTGTTTTTCTTTTACAGGTGGAGAGACTGAGGCACAGGATAGCACAGTAACTCACCCAAGGTCATACACACAGCTAGCAACTGACAGCTGGTATTTAAATGAAGGCAGTCTGGGCTCAGCAACTGTCCTCCTACCCAGCTCTGAGTATGTTCTTAATGACCCTTTTAGTGGGGAGGGCTGGGGATTGAACCCAGAGCCTCGAATCTGCCCAGCACAGCTACCACTGAGCTACCCCATAGCCCTAGCACTTCTTTTTTTGTCTGAGACAGAATCTCGCTGTGTAGTTCATGCTGGCCTCAACTCCTGGCGATCCTCCTGCCTCAGCCTCCAAGTGCTGGGATCACAGGCGTGTCAGCACACCCAGCTTTGAACTTCATTTTCACAGCTGTGCCAAGGCTCACAGAAGGGGAAACTGAGGCTCAGAGAGGTTCACTCACTTGCCCGAGGTCGCACAGCCAGGGAGTGGCAGTGAGGCTGAGGTCTGTCTCCCGGCCCTTCCCTCTGCCTGCAGGAATCCATCGAGACTATGAGGACCCGGCTGGAGCGCAGCATCCAGCTGCTCACCCTGCTGCGGGCCCTGGAAGCGCGGGACCGCAACCTGCAGGAGGGTAACCTGGAGCGGGTCAACTTCTGGTCTGCTGTCAACGTGGCTGTGCTGCTGCTGGTGGCCGTGCTGCAGGTCTGCACGCTCAAGCGCTTCTTCCAGGACAAGCACCCCACGTGCACGTAGCTTTGCCTTGGAGAACCACCAACTGACAGTGGAGGGCCACGGGCCTGTGCCCCTGGGGGATCCCCCTCCTAGCTTTGTTTCTGTGGGAGGGGAGGCTGTTGTGCCCTCGTGGGCTGGGCAAAGTGCCCGCGGCACTTGAGGGGCTGCTGCAGTGATGGAGTGTGGCCTCGTGTTTCCTGGCACCCCCTGTACATGTGCCTTCACTGTTTTGGCAGTTCTGGGGACTGAGCCCAGGGCCTTTGCACTGAGCTACACCCTTAGCCATTTTTTTTTTTTCTTGAAACAGCATCTTGCTAAACTGCTAGGTTGCCTGAACTGAGCTTGAACTTGTGATCCCCAGCCTCATCTCCCAGCGGCCTGGGGTGACAGGCCTGTGCCACTGCCCTGGCCTTAGCTCATCCTCCAGGCAGTATGGAGGGCCCAGGAAGCACTCATCCCTGCCCTCCCCCCACTGGGGTTCTCCCCGCCGGACGCGGCAGGAGGGGTGCTGTAACCTGATGGACCCCACACCTGGGTTTCTCTCTTGGGCCAGGAAGGAGGTGACAGCTGCAGTGTTCTTGCCAGGAGTCTTTATTTGACAGAAAGGGGTCCTAGCTCCTCAGCCCATTGGGTGGCTTGGTGGGCAGGAGGTCTGGGGACAACTGCAGGAGGGACCTATAGTACTGCCCACCCCTTCCTACAGGACCTCCAACAGGGCTGAACCGCAGCTTGGCCATAGCCCAAGGCGGAAGCCTCAAAGAAAAGAGCCAGTCAGGCCTGACTCCTGGAGTCAATAAATTATGGTCAGAGAACCCTGGGTCTGGTGACTGGGGCTCAGGGACACCAGCTGGGACAGAGCTGCCCACATGAAGGGGACAGCAGGTGGGTGGGAAGGAGGGGTCTCCACGAAGCTCAGAAGAAAGGTCGGGCAGGAGCCGATGGAGGTGGTCGCCTGGGCACAAAAAAGAAACCAGAGGCAAAGTTCAGCTGGGCCGCACAGCCTGGGCCCCCAACAGGGCGAGCAGGGGGAGGGACAGGCCAGATGGGTGCTGTCACTTGGCTCCACCAGGCCCGCATATAGGGTGGCTGGTGTCCCCTGGAGCTGGGGCTGTCCTCAAGCAGGGCCCCCTGAGTGAGGCCTCAGCATGGACACGGACACGGGGCCACACAGAAGGTTCTTCCCTTTATTTAGTTTATTAATAGGGTACAGAGCGCAGGCACTTACAGTGGTCAAACCGAGCCAGGAGTGAGCAAGAGCTTTGCTCAGAGAGGGGCTCCTGGGGCCCCCAAGCCCCTCCACTTGAACTGGGGGCCCAGGAGGAGGAGGGCAGAGGAGGGAGTGAGGCCAGCCCGGTGGAGACTCCAGGCCTGGCGAAGGCACCTCTGGCAGCCGAGGCAGCTGGGCTCCGGCTGTGTGGTTAATGTGGCCAAAGAGGGAATATGTACAACGTGGGCTGGGTGTAGGGGGTCCCCCATGAAAACTCCAGCACAGCCTGGGGACCCAGACACCCTTGGCACCCCAGCATCCAGATGGCCTAGTCTATGCAAGTTGCCCCAGCTGAAGAGACCCCAAACTGGCCTGGACCCCTCCTTCAAGATGGCACCTGGAGCGGGGCCACCTGGCTGGCACCTAGACCCCACCCCCAAAGTGCAACACCCCAGCACCCCCTGCCCGGGCCTTCGGTCCCTTGCACGGTGCGGTGTCCAGTGGGACGGGGAGGGGCAAGGTGCCCCAGGAGCCTGGTCCCAGCACGGGGGCTGGGGTAGCGAGGGGGTCCAGGCCCCCAGAGAGGGACAGCGCAACCCTGGGAGCGGGCGCGCCTAGTCGAGCAGCGAGGGCTCGGCTGGGCGGATGATGGTGGGCCGGCTGGGCGCAGCGGGCGGCCTTCTGCTGCGGAGAGAACAAAGGTGAGGAGGAGGAGGAGCGCAGTGAGGCCCCTGCCTAAGGGTGTTCTGGGGTGCTGCTGGGGCCCCACCTGCTAACCAGGTGACTGCCTGCGTGTGCCCCTGCGGCCGTCCCTGTGTGACCCAGGCAAAGCCACATTCCACCCTGGACAGCAGGTGGGCAGGGCAGTGTATCTGTGAACACCAGTGGGATGTGATGGGGCGCCTGTGGTGGAGAGGACAAGCGGGCACTCTGGAGTCTCTGCTGCATACTCTGACTTTGGGCAAAGGACCCAGGCCCCGGGCCTCAGTTTCCCCAACAGCTAAGCCCAGGTGAGGACGGCCCTTGCTGCCCACTTGGCCCGGGGTGGTGGGAGCTCGATGGGAGGAGGGGCGGGCCAGTGACGCCATTGTGGGCACAGTTGTGACCTTACCTGGGCACTCCTGGGGGGATGCCAGGGGGCACCCGCGCTGGCCGGGACGGGATCTGCGGTGGCGCCGAGAAGGGGTCATTGTTGGCAAACACTTGGGTCCCCGGCCGGGACGGGATGGGGGGTGCCGAGAAGGAGGCCGTGGTTCCCACAGGCATGGGGATCAGGGGCGGCCCCGGTGTGGGGCCCCGGACTGCGGGTGGCCGGCCCGGTGGGTGCACGCTGGACACTGGTCGGCGCTGTGGAGTGGGGCTGCGGGGTCAGAGGGGAAGCTGTGAGTGGGAGCCCTACCCAGTCCAGGGGCTTCCCTGCTGGACACTGCCCTGGCCAGCTGCACCAGGCCATAGCTCAGACCCCAGACTCTTCCAACCTGTGGCTCAGCCCGGCCTCGGTGTCTGTCCTTTCTCCAAGGTGCTCCAGGTGCCCTGGGCTGTGGCAGGGCCAACCCTCTGTTACAGCGGCCACCTGCCTTCCACCATTAGCAGTCCCAGCCTGCTGGTCCCTGTCACTGTGCACCTAAGGGTGCTGTTCTACCCGTAGTTGTGCTTGGTCGGCCCATTGCCTGCCCCCCACCTCCCTTTGTGCTATAGGAAGATGCCCCTGGCAGCTGGTACTGGCTCCACTTGTCCCCAGGTCCCCTAGGGTGCCTCTCACACCTGTGGCTAGCTGTGGTCTGCAGCCAGGTGTCATCGACGGGCGGGGGCACGGGCGTGGACACGGTGCTGGTGCTGATGTCCCCGATGATGGTAAGCGCCTCCTTGAGCGCGTGGTACATGCGCAGCATGTCGTCCCGCCGCTGCGCCTGGTCGGCCGACTCCTCCATGAGGCTGCTCTGGTCAGCCGACGAGTACAGGTAGGCCAGCAGCTCGTGGTGGATGAAGGCCTTGGTCTGGACACACGAGTGGCTGGTCAGCCAGCACCCGGGGCCCACTGCCCTCCAACACCGGAGGCTGGCTGGGGGACTCCGGCCCACAGACAGAGCAGGACTCGCGCATGCGCAGTCACCTCCCAAGTGCCCCTGGGCTGCCACTGAACACTCCGGCCTTTTCACAAGACACAGGCCGTCGGCTCAGGCAAGGGCTCTGCTGCCTGGGTGTCTTAGGAAACTCATTCCTAGCATCTTCCCTTCCTTCTGCTATCTTTTCTCCTATTCCACCCTCTAACTGGCTCTTCTTTAAGAGCTGGGACTAGAGGTTGAGCTTGAACCCAGCATACTCCACCGTGAAGCTCTCCCTACCACTTTTACTATTTATTTATTTATTTTATGTATTTGGTACAGGGTCTCACTACACAGCTTGGACTTGTAGTGATTCTCGTTTTCAGCCTCGCCAGCGTGGGGATTACAGGCGTGTGTTGGCAGCGGCATGGCCTGTGGTGCTGGGGATCAAATCCCAGTCCCTGTGCTTGCCTAAGCAGGCACTTAGCCCGCTGAGCTATCTCACTGGCCCTTCCTTAATCTTTTTTTGTATTTTTTTATTTTTATTTTATTTTTTTTTGCGGAACCGGGGATTGACCTCAGATCCTGGCGTTTGCCTATTAAGCGCTTATCCTACTGAGCCATCTCCCCAGCCAAAGAGGATGGGAAAGATTCTTGAGCAATATACTCTTTTTTAATTTTTTTTGGCTGAACCTGGGATTGAACTCAGGCCCTTGTGCTTGCCAGGGAAGCGCTTATTCCACTGAGCCATCTCCCTGGCCCTTGTATTTTTTTATTCTGAGGCAGGGTCTGGCTAAATCACTAAATTGACCAGGCTGGGCTCAAATTCGTCATCCTCCTGCCTCAGCCTCCCAGAGTACTGGGATGACAGGTGTGCGCCTCCATATCCAGCCCTCCTGGTGTTTTCTCAGGCAGGAATAACTGACATAGAGGAGTCCACCTGCGGTGTGAGGACCAGCCCAGGCCTGGGGCTCGGAAGTGGACACTCACGTTGTTGATCATGAGGTGCATGATGGTCTTTGGCATGAGGTCGCGGATGGACTTGTTAATGATGGCCACGTAGGAGTCCACCAGGTTGCGGATGGTCTCCACCTGCCGCTCCAGCTGCGGGTCCATGGAGAAGGTGTCCTGCCCCACGTCCTCGTTCTCTGCCTGCAACAGAGAGCAAGAGTGATGAGGGGAGATGCAGGCTGCGGGGACAGGGGTGAGTCTCTCTGTCAGAGCCGCCCGGGACCCAGCTGGGAAACTCTGTGGACCATCAAAGCAATATCTGTGAGCTCTGCATGCCTGAGGGGGCCCCAGTCCCATGCCAGTGCTGGGCCTAGTGTTGGGCCTCCCTTTCCTATCCCAGAGGGGACAGCTGGGGCAGTTCCTCACCTGGTCCTTCTCGGGGTAGACACCGGCACGCAGGAATGAGGCCTTCCAGCTGTCCACGTCCTCCTGGGAGTCACAGGCCAGCTCGATCTGCCGCAGGTCCTTGTAGACGTTCCTGGGGCAGAAGTAAGGGGCTGCATTGGGGCCTGATCACAGGCCTGGCTGACTGCAAAGGCTCTAGCTACACAACCAGGGGCTCAAAACCAACCTGGGCTCCAGGATGCTACCTGTACCTCCCCAATCACAGCTAAGTGGCTGCTGAGACAACTCCTGCCCAAAACACATCAGTGCAAGCTGGGCATGGAGGCACACATTTGTGTTCCCAGCATTCGGGAGGCTGAGGCAGGAGGATCACCACAAGTATGAGGTCAGCCTGAATGACATAGCGGGACTCTGTGTCAATACAAACACCCCCTCCTCGATAGCACATCACAGGGCAGGGTCTGGAGCAGAAACAGCCAGGGCTATCTGCTGTCATTAGCTTGGGTGACTCTTCCCCTGGGAAATGACTGTCCCCTCATCAGGTTCTCCTGGAAGACCCACACAGGTGTCTCAAGAATTCTGCTCTGGAGGGGGGCTCCCAGCAAGCGGTCTGCAGGAAGCTAGTGTGGCAATAACCAGCAGAACTCCCTGCCACCACGAGAATGATCCCTGCCTGCACAGTCTGATATGGCACAGCCACAGGAGGCTGTGGCAAAATCTTTTATTTTCCAGCACTGGGGAGTGAACCCAGGGCTTTCAGTGCTTTTACACTAAATTCCATTCCTAGCCCTGTTTTATTTAATTAAATTTTGAGACAGGGTCTAAGTTGCTCAGGTTGGGCTCAAACTTAGAGCCCTCCTGCCTCAGCCTCTCCTGCTGGAATGATAGGCATGTACCATCGCACCTGACTGAGGACGTGAATTTTAAATTTTATTCCATTTTGATTGTATGAAAACAGCTACATGTGGCCAGTGGCTGCTCCCCTGTAAATGGTGGCTGGATTCCTGGGGACAGGTAGGACAGGCGTGGCAGGTGTCAGGCTCAGGTGGGTCAGAGGGTAGCACTATGATTCAGTGCCCGAAGGCTAGGAGCAATATAGGAGGGACCTAGTGTTTGGTGACAGCATTCTATAGCCAGGGCTTATAGCCTATGCCTTGGTCACTATCCTGTCCCACATGCAGGTGGGGTCGAGCTAGTTGAGCTGCCCTCAAAGCCCCCAAATGAGACCTGGGTTGCTCTTTTTCCTTCTTTCTGCTGCCTGGAATATTGCCAAGATGGCTGGCATTTGGGCAGCTCTCTTGGACCAAGAGGCAGAAGCCATGTATTGGGAAAAGCTGAGGAACAAGAAAGGAGGACGGGGCCGGGGCTATGGCTCAGCAGCACAGTGCCTGCCTGGCAAGTATGAGGTCCTGAGTTTGATTCCTGCTACCAAAAAGAAAAAGGAGAGGAGGGGCTGGGAAAGCTGCCTCCTTGCCTTGAAGGGAAAGTTTGGGTTTGATTTAAGTAATAAAACAAGGAAACTTTTTTTATTTTTGGTGGAACCAGGGATTGAACTCAGGCCCTTGAACTTAGGCCCTTGCGCTTGCCAGGGAAGTGCTTATTCTACTGAGCCATCTCCCTGGCCCGAAACGTTTAACTTGTTTCCTCTACTGTTTTTCTGGGTTTCCTGGTTCCACCTCTTAAGAGATACATGGGCAGCACCATCAGCCTGCTGCGCTGGGAAGCTCAGGGCCCAGGCAGCTAGGACAGAAGGCCGCTGGCAGCAGGAGAGGTGTCCCCGGCTTCCTCACAGGATCCCAGGCCTAGAAACTTTAAGAGGTTAAGAGGTTTTCGGTAGCCTTTCCTGCCCTGCTTGCGCTGAGGATCAAGCCAGAGCAGCCCCTCCCTGCTGCCCTGGGCCCCGGCCAGCCTCTTCCCTCGTAGCCACCAGAGGGCGCGCATGAGCACCAGAGCCAAGCGACTCCCTCCCTCCCCCCCCCCCCCAGCATTTTACCGTTTCTTTCTTGCAGTGCTGGGGATTGAACCCAGGGCCTTCACACTGAGGTCCATTCCCAGGCCTCCCCCCCCCCTTTGACACAGGGTCATGTTAAGTCACTAAAAGGTGGAGCTGGTGGTCCTCGTGCCTCAGCCTCCGAGAGCCCAGATGGCGGGGTGTGTCATCGTGCCGGGCCCAACCCCCTTCCTTGCGCCTCCAGGGCAGAGGCAGACAGCAAACGCTCAGCGCGCTGCGGAGGGGCCCCCACCTCTGCTCCGTGTTGAAGATGGCGAAGACATGCTTGTTGGACATGAAGCCCTTCTCGACGTCGCGGATCTTAAGGTTGTCCAGGGGCAGCATGTACTTCTTCTCTTTCTCCTGGGGACAGAAGGGACAGCCGTCACCTAGGACTGTTGGGCAGCGGCATTGGGCACTCTGGGGCTGCCGAGGCCGGTGACTGGCTCATCTGCTGCCGCCGCCTCCATGTCCCTGGTTGCTTCCCCATAGCCTTCGCGCGTCCAAGGCCCCTGTGCCAGGCCCAATGCCCCACGGCAGCTCCTTGACTGCGCCAGGACATGGTGCAGCAGGATGACCTCAGGTCACACACTAGAGCCCTGGTCCGGCGTCCCCTGCAGAGACAGCGCCGTATGTGCAAGGGCCACCCGGCATAGCTGCCCCGGCCCTGCTCCGAGCCTAGGCACGGTGAGGCAGCGGGCCGGGAGCGGGCCTGTGAGCCAGAGCTGGGGCAGCGCTTGGCCTCCTATGCACTCAGCACTGGCTGTGGCCGCCGAGCCACTGGGCACCTCCCTGAGGACTGTAGTTGGTTCCCAATATGTGTGGGAGGCCCCAAAAGCTTTATCTTGTGCTTTAAAAAAATTCTGGTTTTTTTGTGTGTGTGCATGTGTCTTTTTTTTGGTCTTTTTTGAGACACTGTCTTGTTACGCAGTTCAGGCTGGCCTTGAACTCACTTTGTAGCCCAGACTGGCCTCAAGCTCTCAGAGATCTTCCTGCCTCAGTCACCCAAGTGCTGGGATGACAGGCGAGCACTACTGTGCCCAGCTTCTAGCTCTTATTTTTGTGAGACAGGCTCTTGTTAAAATGCCAAGCTGAAGGGCCGGCGAGATAGCTTAGTGAACTAAGCGCCTGCTTAGGCAGGCACAGGCGCTGGGGTTTGATCCCTGGCACCATGTGCTGTGCCCCCCCCCCCCCAGGGCAGGCTGAGGTGGCAGTGGAGGCTAGGCGTGGTGCGCACACCTGCAATCCCAGCTGCTGGGGAGGCTGAGAACAAGAGCATCACTATGAGTCTGAGCTGCACAGTGAGACCCTGGGCCAAAGAACAACAACAACAAATGCCACACTCCACTACAAGTCAGATCTATGCGGCGAGACCCTGTAGACCTTGCACTAAATTAAAAAAAAACAAAAAACAAAACTGCCAAGCTGGGTTCTAACTTTCAATCCTCCTGCTTCAGCCTGCCCACTAGTAGAAATTAAGGCCTGTCTCAACATACCTGGCAAATGACTGTTTTTGAGGATGGTAGTTTTTTTTTTTTGTGTGTGTGTTTTTAAATTTTATTTGAGCGTGTGTGTGGCCAGCTCAGCCCACCAGGGGGCGGGCTGGCTGGCATGTGGTGCTGGGGGATTGAACTGCAATCCCTGTGCTTTGCTAAGCTTGTTCTAAGTAGGTGCTTTAGACCACTGAGCCATCTCACCAGCCCTGGTAGTTTGTTTTTATAGTGCTAGGGACACAACCAAGGGTCTCATCTATGTCCAGCAACTGCTCTGCCAGGGAGCCACACCCAAGCCTGTGAGCCCAAGTCCCTCCTCCACCAAGTGACTTGCAGCAGCTGCTTGTGGAAATTTCCGCTTCAATCAACCTGCTAAGGACAATGCTGCTCAGAGACAGGAGCTGGCTGCCCAGGGACACACAGCATGACATGGCACACCTTGGAACCCTCGCTGCCTGTAGCCTCTCTGCCTTTCGTCACCGCCCAGGGCTCTAGAGCCTCCTCCTCACATGCCTGTCTCTGTGCCACTGAAGGCCCCAGAGCAAAGAAAGCCCCACTTGGCCACCACATCTGAGACAAGAACAGCCACTGCCATGGAGAGGAATGGGTGAGGGGCCCCTCAGCAAGGGGCCAGTACATACCTGCCATCCCAGCAGGTTAAGGCAGGAGGGTTGCTAAGTTCGAGTCCAGCCTGGGTAACATAGGATCTTTCTTTCTTTCTTTATTTTTTTTTTTTTTGTACTGGGGATTGAACTCAAGAACTTATACAGGGGCTTATGCCACTGAGCTATCTCCCCAGCCCAAAAGTTGAGAAGGATTTTTTTTTTTCTTTTTTGGCTGGCTCAAGCTGCCTTAAGGGCGGGTCTGATAAGGCATGGGGAGCTGGGGATTGAACAGTGGTCTCCTGCGCCTGATTGGCTTTGACCAGCTGGCGCTTAAACAACTGAGCTAACCCGCAAGCCCCCAACTAGGAACTTAATTAAAAATTAAAAAAGGACTGGGGCTTAGCTCTGTGAAGGTCCTGGGTTCCATCCCCAGTACTGGAGGAAAAAGAAAAAGGCAGGAAAAGGCAGAAAAGCAGCGGGGGGCGGGGGGATGCAGGTGCCGGGCTGGTGAAGTGGCAAAGCACTAAGCTAAGCTCAGTGCATCCTACACTGTGAGGTGCTGCCAGCCTCGACTGGCACAGCAAGCACTTGGGGCTGAGGGACACAGCCCATGCCAGGCTGCAGGCTGGGAACCCCAGGAAGCACGGAGACATGAAAGGCTGTCACGGTGGTAGCAGGCGGTGCCGGGGAGCCAATGTGGGGCTGAGAGGCGTCTGTCTGCGCCTTGCATGGAAGTTTCCGGAAGGGCCTCCGGGGTCCCCACCCTCGAGTGTCAGGAGGCAGGAAGCTGCAGGGGCCGGCAGGGCCAAGTCACTGAGTCACAGGCCATGCAGGCTTTCTCTGCGCAAGACACCACATCTGGAAGTGTTTATGGTGTGATTCCGCCTGGGCTCACGGCGGCCCTGGGAGCGCGCACGCACGCACGCACACAAACGCGCGCGCAGGGGAGCACGCGCCCCTCCCCCGGCAGAGGCCACCGACCCCGGTGCTCCTCCCGCCAGCTCCCCTCGGATTTCCTGAAGGCGAACACACAGCTTTCTCCAGATGCACAGAGGCCCCGGCCTGGCCCTGCCATGTCACAGCAGACTGTAACTCTGCTCACAGGGTGGCAGGGGCGCGAGGAACAGGGTCCGGGGGCCCGAGGGGCAAGACACCGGCCCCGCCGCCCCAGTGTTCAGACTACCTGTTCAGGAGGTAATGCATGTGTACAGTAGTCTGCACATTGGTTAGGCTGGGCTCGGGACAGCGGCGTCAGGAGGGCCCCCGCCGGCTCCCAGAGTGGCTGCCAACCCCAAGGAAAGCAGGTATGGAGGTAAGTAGCATACACCGGACAAGTATGAGTGGGAGATGGCACTGGGCGAAGGCAAGAGGGCCCCTGGGGCTGAGGGTCGGGCCCAAAGGGCTGCTGTCCCCATCCCACACTGTAAACACCCCCTCGTGTTTATTTCTGAAATAAAGAGATCCTGACTTCTTTCATGTCCCATGGCTTCTCTATGAAGGGGTCAAGTGTGACACTGAGGGTCCTGCCTGTGGGGTCCCAAGTCAGGGGTGGGGACCCTCGAAGGGCGCTGCAGGGCCCCTCCTGGTCCTCACCTCTTTGTGTCTGGGGCACACGTCTGGTTCTTGTTAGCGGCGCCCGGGCTGCCTCCAGCACCCCCTCTGCCTGTCTGGGGCCCTGGGCAGGGTGTGTGGCTCCCAGTGGCAAACAAGAGCCAACCTGTGAAGCTGCCACACCACAATGCCAGGCCCAGAGGCTGGCCCTCAGCACCCCATGAGATGCTTGGCGTGCTGGGTGCAGGACCCCAGATCTGCCGTCCCCCAGTTATGGACACACAGGAGACCTCACTCAGCTCTTCCAAACCTGCCCATCTCAGGTGCCTCTGCGCACCCTGGCCCTGGACGAGACATCCAGGGAAGCTCTGGTCACACTGTGGGGTTGGGAAGAGGGGGCAAGAGGCTCCAGGGCCACCCCAAGCCCTCACCTAGCCACCTGCAGCTGTGACTGTGTCCCTGTGCAAGGAGGCCAGGCCACACCCTCGCTGGCCTCGTCTATGGCTCTCCCCACAGACTGCTAGGGGCACCCAGAAATGCTGTTGCTACCACCCCCCGTGGTGCAGAACAGACCGACAGGGTCCCTGAGGCCTGTGCGGCTCCTGGCTCCAGAGCAAGGCCCAGTGTGAGCAAGAGGACCGTATTTCACCCTGGCCCTCACTGCTGGTGTGACCACATTTCATGGCGGATAGAGACCAGGTCACTGACCAGGGCCCTCAGTGGCCCTACCTGGGAACAGCAGTGCCAATTCAAGGGGGCCTGAGGGCTTACTCAGGAGGGCCAATAGCAGCTGCTCCCACTGCCACATCCAGCGTGGGCCTTTGTAAACAGCCCCCCTCATCACTGCAGCCACAGGGGACAGATTCTGGTGCCCCCTCTATGCCTTCTCTGGAGATCCCGAGGAAGCCTGGCCTCTCTCTGCACCCACCCACGACTCCTAGGCAGCTTAGGGCTGTGGTGCCCCAGAGACCAAGAGCTGCTCATCCCAGCCTGGCGCAGCCTCAGGCAGCAAAGTCCACTCGGCAGGGCCGCAGCCTCTCTCTGAGCCCCCAGCCTTGCTGGGCGTGGGTACCAGGCAGGTGCTGAGACTCAGCACTCCACTCCCGCAGCCCCAGAGAAGGAGGACACCATGGTGTGCGCGGGGCTGGGCTCCTGCCCAAGATGGTACGACCCTGGTCCCCAGCCCCGGTTCTCACGCTCTTGCTTTCTCTTCTCTGCGGTACTGAGAGTGCTGTGAACCACATCTCAGCCCTTCCCCCCTCTCTCTTTTTTTTTTTTTTCTTTTTCTTTTTTTATTTGACACAGGGCCTTGCTAAGTCCAGCCAGGGCTAGAGCTTGTGACTTCCTGCCTCAGCCCCCTGAATGCCCACTCTCTGTGGCTGTGTGACCAGATTCTGTCCAGGGGCCACCAGTGGGGCCAGTGTCTACTGGTCTGGTCCTTCTTTCTCTTCCTGGGGATGCCCCTTAGGCTGTGAGAGGGCACCATGGTGAACACCTGAAATCCCAGCACTTAGGGAGGCTGACGCAGGACAATCACCATGAGTTTGACACCTGCCAGGATCACGTAAATACTGAAACTATGTCTTCAAAAAACCAAACCAAAACCAAAACCAAAGGGATCTTGGAGACAGTTCAGCAGAACAGCGTCTCCCTGGCATGCACAAGGTCGAGTTTGATTCCCAATATTAAAAAAACAACAACAACAAAAAAAAAAAAACAAAAAAAAACACAGATCTAGTTCCCTTGGCACAGAAGAACACTGGGCCAGAGAGGCTAAGGGCCTGGACAAGCCACACTCCCAGGGACCTGGCTGTGCGTGCAAGTCCCGGGCCCTCCTCCGGTGGTCTCCGTCCACCCCGCGTCAGCTCCCTGCCCTACTGTCTTCTTTCTCCGGTGCTCCCCAGCCATCAGACCTGCCACGGGCCACCTCGAGGACCCAGCCCTCCAGCTCTTACTACCGGGATCCTCATGCCAAGACACGTGGGGCAGCACCGTGGCACTCCCACACCCCCACTCCACTACTCACCTCTTCATCCTTGTACCAGGACAGTGACTCGGCCGTGAGCACGAACCAGTACTCCTTGGAGCCGCCCTTCATGAGGCTGATGTTGTTGATGGTCAGCCAGCCCCTGCGGATCACCTGGGGAGGCGAGAATGGCTCAGTGGGGACAACGTCCAGGCCACCTCCCCCAGCATAGCTGCAGTGCCCTCGCCCCACAGTGCGGCAAAGACACCTCCAGCCCCAAGCGCCCCCAGCTGGAGACTGAGTGGGGTGTCCAGCAGGTGGCAGACAGGAAAGCATCTCCCTGGTTAGGGAAGGAGTGCGGGCCTGGTGTTGGGACAGGGCCCGGGACAGGACACCTGCGGAACTGCCCTTCTCTGGGTGGCTAAGCTACCCAGATGCCCTCATCTCATACCTCATGGCCACTGTCCCTCAGGGAGGAGGCGTCCACACCATGGGACAGAGCTTGCTGACTTTCCTTCCGGGGCCGTGCCAGCAAAGGCTCAACACAGAGCCCTCGCCAACACCTGGACTGAGAGTGTATCTGTCTAGGTCACCAAGTCAAGGGACATTCTATCCTGAGAGCTGGTGGAGTTATTTCCCCAAGGGCCCCTCCTGGGGGGGACACTATCAAGGGTGAGGACTGTGCCCCATGCTGGTAGCTCGGCCACTGCACTTCTCTCCAAACGCCAGGCAGGGGTCTCTGCTGAAGACCCTGTGGTGCAGCTCATTCATCGGTGGCTGTTACATGCACGGGGCAGAAGCTGGGCCTGCTCAGGAGGGCTCACCTGATAGCTACGTGCAGGTGGCCCAGGGGACCATATTTTCAGGGCCCCATGGTCCCTGGGACACGGAGGCATGAGGAAACCACAGTGCCTCCCACTGCCTGCCTTGGGACTGGGGATGCCCAGGCAATGGGCAGCACATGGAGGCACCAGCAGGCCAAGTGAGAAGGGTAGCTGGGATGGGCTGGGGTGACCAACCAGGGAAAAGTCCTCTTAGGGTGGCCTCTTGGGGTCAGTGAGCCCTGCTGGTGGTCAGCTCTCACCAGGGACCTCCTGACCTGCTCCAGGGCTGTCAAAGCTTAAGGCCACCAGCGTATGGGCCCCGAAGGCAGAGGCCACCACCAAAGGCCAGGGACTATGCTAAAGTCCCTGCCAAGAACAGAGACAGCATAAGATGCCACCCAGAATCCCTTACTAGGGCCAAGTCCTGGGATGACAAGTGATATCAGAAATCCTGCAGCTGCTTCGAGCTGTGACGGCTGGCTTCTGATGACTGATGGCAGCCCAGCAAGATCATGGTGTGCTCCCAGAGGACAGAGTGACCCACTCAGCCTAGCTGCTCCAGGACGTGCTGGGGTTGGCAGCAAATGCCCAGCGTTCTGGGCATGGCCCTAACCCCGGGAAAACCAGGATGGTTGGTGACACTGTTGGCACCCTTTGTTTCCAGTCTGAGGAGAGACTGACCTGTGAGGGACCCAGGAGGGAACCCTGGCTTCAGGCCCTGGAAACCCCGAGCCACATGGGTCTCAGCAGCCATATTCTGCTCCTCTGTCTACCACAGGTCTTAGTCCCAGGGGGCAGAGTAAGAGCTCATGGATCGGGATGTAATCACTGACACTCAGGGGAGGACAAACAAGGGCCAGAGGGTTGCTGCTCCCTCATACCCGGAGCCTCTGCACTCCCTGACGTAGGTGAGCTTGACTATGCTCCACTGGCCTGGACCACCTGCTTCAGACCAGCTAGGGCAAGGGATACTGCCTGGAGCCACCCCAGAATAGCACCCAGAGCCTCAGAGCATGGATGCTAGCCAGCCCCGAAGCAGCCCCCAAAGCACCCTTCCCTTCTGATCACCTAGACAGCAGGAACAGTGGCTCCCTAAGGGCAGGCCAGTTAGTGCCAAGAGGAACATGCCCCATTGGGGGGCGGGGCTCAGGAGGAGGTGGGGCGGGGTGGGGAATGGGGCAGGCAAGCAGGCACACCCAGGAGGGGCTGTCTGGGGCACCATGGGCAGCACGTGAGGAGCAACAGCTGGCTCCGTGGGGAACCGGGCCAGCCTCCCTGCTGGGCAAGGGTCCCAGGCAGGGAAGGCACTCAGGCCATGTCCAGGCATTGGGGCTGGGGTGACAAAACCTCCAGGGCTAGGGGAAATGGCAGGTGCCTGGCCTGGCCTGTGCTGGAGAGGAGACTGTTAAAGGTATGGGCACTTGGTGCGGAGGGGGAACCATAGGCTGGCTGCTGCTCTGTTCCTCCTGCCTCCCCCGCCACCAGTCTCGGCTTTGCACTTTGGCTCTATCTGCACCAGCCAGGATCCAGGGCATCCAAGCTGGTACAAAATTGCCTCAGCAGAAGAACTCTGCAGAGGCAGCAGGGGCTGGCCCAGTCCTCAGCGGCGGGCAGTGAGAGACCATCCAGTAGCCGCAGGCCTAAAATAGGCTCAGCTTGCAGCTGGAGCAGCCTCTCCTCCCTCCTGGACAGGGCTGGGCCTCACACCCCGCTGCCCCACTCCAGGGCCCAGCCGAGGGCTCCTGGCAAAGGAAGCAGGCAGTACCTACACCAGGGATGGCAAATACAGTCAGCTGCGGCAACAGCAGCTTGGGGCCACTGTGGTGGGAATTTTGGGAGTAGCAAGAGAGAATGCTAGGATCAATTAGTGATGTCCGTCCCAGGCAAAGGACAGGTGGACAAGAGAGCCTCATTCACTTGTCACAGCAGTCACGGAAACAGGAGGCTAGTGGCAGCAGCCAGGGGAAAGGGCCCTGACTGATTGATTACTCATGCCTGGAATGGATATGTGGAGGGACAGCATGTGGAAAAATTAAAAATACCTTAGTTAGTCACATCAGCCACACAGAGGGAAGGGTGGCATGCCTATTAAGGAAGAATGCCAGGATTGCTGAGTTATGCCTGCCACAGGCATGCAAAGGAGAGACGGCACAAGAAGAGTGCTGGGCTTGATTAGTCATGTCTGCCGTGGGCACAGGAGGGCGATTCTGCAGGTAGACAGCCCTGCCCTGGTCAGTGAGTGACTTCTGCCCTGGGGAAGCAGCAGCAGCAAAAATGAATTCCTATGGGGCTTGAACAAAATCATCCACACCCATAGTCAGGGAAGGGAGGGGAGGAGGCAGGCATGGTATTTGCCATCCCTGACCTAAGGAACACCAGATAATCTGCTGGGAATTAGCTGGTGGAGTTGAGCTTCGAACAAAGGCAGCAGTCAGGTTAGTGTTCATGTGAAGACAGTGGACACCCAGGCCAGCACCAAGTCCAGAGACAGCCGCAATGTAGGGGGCTCCCGGTTAGTTTCAGTTTTAGTTTTTTATTGTTATTTGAGGGTGGAAGGTGTTAGGATGTTAGGAGGCAGGCAGAGTCTGCACTACTACGAGAGTCTCTAATGGCCACTACTGCACTAGGCGGGTACTTACCAAGATCTCCCCCTTTGAGAATGCAAAGTTAGGATGGTGGGCAGGTCAAGGAAGAGTGAGCGGAGGAAGAGAGATGGAAGGGACATGAGGGCACGGAGAAAAAGCCGGAAAAGCACAGTGATGGGAGAAGAAATGAGCAGGGGGAAAACAGCAAAAGAAAAAAAAAATTACATGCTATTAATTATATTCATGGTGTTAATTATTTAATTCATTATCATCTCCCAAAATGGAAAAGCAATAATATATACATTACCTATGCAAGCACAAAACAAAACAACGAATCATGCAGCAGTTACTTTCTTTTTTCGATCAGGCTCCATAATCGTGCAAGATACATAGCAGAGTCCCCACCCCCGCCCCAGTGCAGCCCGATGTGGAGAATGGGGAGCAGGCGACAGAAACTCCTTATAAAGCTGACCTTCTTTCACAGGGCCTCCAACTGGGGCATGATATCAAGTTTCAGGGTGTGGAGATCAAACCACCCCAGACTTTCCTGAGCTGCTGGTGGCAATGCACCACTTATGGCTCCCACTGACAGGTCCTCTACCCTTGGGGCAAGGGCTATGGAACCCCATTTGCCTGTAGACCCTTGGGGTGACTACTACATTGCTCCTGCTTAAAGGACTAGAACCTGACCTTGACCTTGAATGTCAACATGGCTTTCCAGGATGTGACAATTACCTCCAGGCCCTGCCAAAGCTGCAGCACTCAGACCTGGAGGCTGACAGAGTAGGTGGCCTGGTGTCACGGGTCAGCTCCTGGCCAGGAATCACCCTGAGTGCCCTCCCGCCCCCAGGATGGGGTGGCGGCCACAGCCGGGGAGCTACCTGGTTGGGGATGGCTCTCTTCTTATTCAGCTGTGTACTCCTCTGCTGGGCACTGCAACCAAAGCACAGAGAGGGCACATGTGGGCGTGACGCGGGAGGGACAGGCGGCAGGAGGCCCCAGTGGGGATGTGCTCCCTGGGGGCCCACTGAGCAGGTGGGGGCACAGAGATATTCTTCTGCATGAAGAGTTGCCCGAGAGAACAAGGAAAGGAGTCCCCTTAGGCTGAGGCCTCTAGGCCCTGACTCTGCCACCCTGGAAGTGCTTGCTCCTTCCACAGTGCAGTGTAACCAGGAGCATCCAAGAGGGCCCATGAGGGGCCAGGAGGTGGCCGCAAGGGGACCTGGGCCAGGCTGGTTGGGGGTCACACACTTGAAACCCCTTCCGGCTTTCCCAACCCTGACCACAACACCAGGCTGCAAGGAGCTCTATCCATAAGGCCCTCCAGCCCTGAAGACCAGACGATGGCACAGCCACTGGCTACGAAAATGTCAACTCAGGGGGCTGCCCCTTAGCTCAGTTCTTTAAGTGGCTGCTTCAAAAAAGCAGTCAAGCTCAGGCTGCTGTGGTTTGATCCCCACAACTCAAGCCAGTCAAACCTGCCCTGAAGGCATTCAGAGAAAAAAAAAAATCTTTCTGCCATTTTGGGCCGGGGAGACGGCTCAGTGGAATAAGCGCTTCCCTGGCAAGCGCCAAGGGCCTGAATTCAATCCCCGGTTCCGCAAAAAAAAAAAAAAAAAATTTCAACTCATGTTTGGCTTCTGAGCCAAGGTGGAGGACATCCAAGGCCAACAAGGTGTGTTTCCACAAGGCTCCTTGTTTGTAGTCCGGGGTCTCTTGTCTCCCTTACCCACCTATTTCCTGCCAAGTTCATTCAAGTGCAGACCATGGCCACTATGTCCTACGGGGGTTCCTTCTCCACTCTTTACTGATTCTAATATATTTTCTGCCCCAACAATCACATCAAAGCCTGTAAACAGTTTCCATCTCCTGTCGTTTATCTCTTTTTCTTTTATTGAGTTAGCTGGAAAGTTCAGGAAAATGTCAAACAACAAACCAGTTGGCTGATGCTGGGGGTTTTGCATTAAAGTTCAAATTGGTTGTTGGATAAGGAAAGGTATTTGTGTGTGTATGTGTGTAACATAGGCTTCTGTCTAGATGGGTAAAGGTTGGAAAATTAAGAATGGAGGTGGGGCTGGTGGGATGGCTCAGTGGTCTAAAGCACCTACTTAGAACAAGCTTAGCAAAGCACAGGGACTGCGGTTCAATCCCCCAGCACCACATGCCAGCCAGCCCCGCCCCCTGATGGGCTGAGCTGCCCCCCCATAAATAAATAAATAAAGAATGGAGGTAGTGAGGCCTGCCCATTAGCTCATTTGTGTAAGTGCCTGCTTAAGCAAAGGCAATCAGGCTCAGGATATTGTGGTTGGATCCCCAGATCCTCCTGCCTTTCCAGACCTGCCCTTAAGGTATTCTGAACCATCCAAAAAAAAAAAAAAAAAAAAATCCTTCTGAACTTTGGGGCTGGGGAGATAGCTCAGTTGAATAAGCACTTGCCTGGCAAGTACAAGGGCCTGAGTTCAATCCCCAGCTCTGCAAAAAAAAAAAAAAAGAATGGCAGCAGCACACCTAATTATAGTAGTAGCACATGCCTGTTTCCCAACACTCTGGGAGATTGAGGCAGGAGGAGTACCAGTTTGAGTCTAGCTAGGGCAAATTAGAGACACTCTCTCAAAATTAATTTTTTCTTTTTTCCCAAAGGGCTAGGGATATAACTCAGTGCAAAAGCTCTAGCTTCAATCCCCATTACTGGAGGAAAAAAAAAAGAAAGAAAGAAACAAAATGGGGCTGAATTTTGTGTACTATTTTCTCTAATATTCCAAGAGATTATTATTGGCTCTGGCTCCTGTGTGCAGTGCATACAGGGAACAGTGAAGCCTAGAGTCGGAAGCACAGGCGGAAGCTGGATCAACAGTGTCCCGCAGAGCCACACTCCCCAAGTGACAGCAAGGCCCCCCACGCGCCACTCCCGAGGGTCCGGGCTCCCGCCTGCGCAGGGGCCTTCCTTAGGGGCACCCTCTTCACAGTCTGCGGGCCTCCTGTCGGGCCAGGGCTGTTACTCTACCTGCCCTCTGGGCCTTCCTTCCCTCCTCCCCAGCCCTGCGCAACGGGCAATGGTGGATGCTGCACTGTCCTGTCCAAAGGCCCGGCTGGGCCTGGCTCTGAGCAAGCACTCGACTATTCAGTGGGTCTCTGGGATACCCCCCCAGGCCTGGGGCCACCCTGCCAAGGCGTCCCCATTCACACAGCAGGGCAAAGGCACACAGCAGGCAATACCCACCCGGTGAGCAGCTGCTCAGTATAGTAACAGCTGGGGTGAGGGGAAGGCCCCGGAATCCAGAGGAAAGAGTAGAGTGGTCAAAGGAAAAACAGGAGAGATTGTGAGAAGGAACTGTGGATGAAGTGTGAGAAGCAGAGACATCACAGTGAGGAAAACAGCAGCGAAACACCATGGGCGCCAGCACCGGCTGCCCGTGCACGCCAGGGGCCTGGGAGGCCCAGCGAAGGGAGCCTCCCGGTCCGGGCTGGAAGGAGCCTGGAGCTCGTGTTCATTCATTTACTCATGCCTTCCTTCCTTCCTTCATGTGACATGTGCCCAGCACAGGACGGATGCTACAACCACCTGCTCAGTGTCTAGATAATGTTCAACTTAAAGCACTACCCAGCTCAGGCCGCACAGGTAGCTCAGAAGAATAAGCGCTTCCCTGGCAAGCACAAGGGTCTGAGTTCAATCCCCGGTTCCATCAAAAAAAAAAAAAAAAAAAAAAAAAAGGTCACCCCTCCATTCTATGGGCACAGCTCCACGCGGCCCTGAGCACCCTGCGCCCTGACTGCTAGCTACAGGGCTGGTCTTCCTCTGCGGGACCAGGCGCGGACTGGCATGTTGTTCCGCCACTGCGCATGCGCAGAAGCCAGCTGCTCCACTAAGTGGGTACGAAGAAGCCGGCTGCGCTGCGCAAGGGTTCTAGGAGCAGCGTGCAGGAAGACCCTCCAAGGCCACCCGCCAAAGCTTGCTGAGGGCCCCAGGAACGATGGAATCTGGGGTGACACCCAAAACCATTATCCCCTTTATCTACATTTTTCCTAAACCAGGGCCCAATCCCAGCTGGGTGCCTTGCAACCAGCCAGACGTGAATAGGAATCCCTAAGAGCACCCCCAGAGACTGAACAGGCTGTACCCTGGTGCAACCACAGAACGGCCCCTTCATCCTTCAACCTGCGCTGGGTGGGGATGCCAGGAGGGGGGCTCCATTGGCCTAGGAGGGCTTTTGGTATTCTCATTTGGCTTTGTTCTTCACCCAGGGATCCCAGTGAGAGGCTCTCTGGTTCCTGCCCTCTGAGGGAACCCAAACTCCACCGTCTCCCCGGGGCCTGACGCCGAAGGTGGGAACTGCGCCCCTCCCCCCGCAGTCCCCAAAGGTACATACTTGGCAAATCCAATGAAGTCTTCGTGGTTTGTGTTGATGTAGGACTGCTCAATGTCGATCAGAAGAAGAATCTGGGGAAAGAAGCAATGCTGTGAGGACTGAACCCTGGGAGCTGGGGAGGGGGGGGCAGCAGACTGGACATTCTTGCAGTCGCCAGCAGGGGGCGCAGAGCCACCAGGCCTCCCAGGCCGGAGGTGGAGCCGGGGACGACAAGACGCTCTCACAGGGGTGACTGGGGGCTCGGGTTGGCCTGCAGGGCGCTTTGTGACCTTGGGCCTCCTGTTCCCAAGCTATGGAATGAGATTCGTGGGTGGCTCCACTGCACAGAATAATAAATAGTCTGCCTCTAGATCTTCAATTCAGTCCCACTGCAAAGCCCCTTTTCTGCCATGTAAACTGCCACATTCCCAGGTTCTGCAAATTGCGAGGTGCGCGCCTTTCTTTAGGGGCACATGATTTGGCCTGCCAAGGATTTTTATTGTTTTCCCCCTTCGTTTCCTTTTTTACAGGGCTGAGACAGAACCCAGCAGCTTGCACATGCTAGGCACGTGCTCTGCGCTGAGTGGCACCCCCGCCAGGTTACACCAGTTAGCGTGCAAAGCCCAGACCAGGGCCTGGCACCTTATAGTGCTGCCTGGAAACAACAGTGCAAGTGTGAGCGCTCTTGCTCTCTCACTCACACAATGTACGCACATCTGCATGTATATATTACACTAAAACGTGCATGCACACATAAAACAAATAAAGGGCAAAAGAGTAACAACAGTTGGGCAGGGTGGGGTGGTGCACACCTGCAATCCCAGCACTTAGAAGGCTGAGGCAGGAGGATTGATGTGTGTTCAAGGCCAGCCTGAATCCATAGGTATTTTTGTGACCTTTCTCATGTTAAAATTATTTCCAAATAAACTGTTAAAAACACCAGCAAAAAAAGCACCATGGTGATTTGGTCACAGAAGAATATGCAAATGTAATTCACACACACACGTGGAAGTCTCCACAGCCCACGCCCCCCCAGGACAGGTACAGCCTGCGGGCGGCACGGGCTGGCCCCACGCATGCGCTCACTGCCCTGCCAGCCTCTCCTCAGCCATTTGCCCAGGGCGAGGGTGGCTGGTGGGAACCAAGGCTGAGACAGCCATTTGGCCTGGTGCCCAGTAAGAACAGGCTGGGCTGCAGGGCAGTGGTGCTGGTGCCCCCAACTGGGCCCCACTGGCCCCACGCCAGTCACCTGCTTTCACTGTGCCCCAGTGCTCTGGATGCTGAAATAGGGCCAAGCAGGAGACTTTCAGGCTGACTGAAAAGTGTCACTGGGGCTGGTTTTGTGAGGCCTGCATCTATCCCAGGGTGCTAGATCCATCCTGGCAGCAAGGGCCACGCACATGCTAGGCAAGTGCTTTACCACTGAGCCACACCCTCAGTAGACCCCGTGTACCCCATAATGAAACAAAATAAATCTGGAGTCATAATACTGTATGCATTTGTCAAAGCTCACAGAACAGGGCCAGGTATACTGATACAAGCCTGTAATCCCAGCTCTCCAGAAGGCTGAGGCAGGAGGGTCTCAAAGCAAAGCACAGCCTGGTCAACTGAAGGACTCAGTGAGACCCTGACTCAAATTAGAAAATAAAAAGAACCAGGGGGTGGAGCTTAGCAGAAATCTCCAGTACCACAAAATAAACCTCATTAAAACTGTACATTCAAATTTGACTGCTCATGAATTATATCTGAAAAAGAATACAACACGCTGGGTGTGGGGGGATATGCCTGCAATCCTAGCACTGTGGAGGCTGAAGGACCACCTGGAGGTCGAGGTCAGCCTGAGCTACATAGTGAATCCAAGACCAGCCAGAACTACATGGTGAGCCCTACAGAGGGGGCCGGGGAGATGGCTCAGTAGAGTAAGCGTTCGCCTGGCAAGCACAAGGGCCTGAGTTCAATCCCTGGTTCCGCAAAAGAAAAAAAAAAAAGAACAAAACAAACAAAGGCGCCACTACCTGGTCCTTGGTCCTCCCTTCTCGTTCCCGTATGTATGTAGTGACGATTCGCTCTGTTTCTTCTCGTAAACGGGGGTAGGAGCAGAGCTGGGGGGCAAGCAGAGTAGCCATGTTGGGGGAAGGTCGTGTGAAACACATGAATGGAAAATGTAGGGGGAGAGATATGGGGGCCCCCGTAGCCCCACTCTGCTCCTGTGTCACAGCCACTCAGCTGGGAGACAAGAACAGGGCAGCGAGGCTAGAGGAGCGGAAGGGAGAAGGTGCCCACACACGCATGCCCAGGGTGGCTTTGCAAGCCAGCAATCCAGAGGTGGAGAATGACAGAGGAAGTGGGTGAAAGGCGCCTGCTGCCCAAGGGTCCCGCAGCCCCCTCCCACCTCGAGCTGGGTGAAGGCGGGACCAGCGAGGCCCCGTGCACCAAGCTTGCAGTGTGTAGCACCTGCTCCGGGCACTGGGGCAGCATCTGAACCACTGGCCTCGGAGGGACCCCCTTGCTGGAAACTATTCCTGATGGTAGCGCCTTAGGCTGACAGCCCCCCGTGCCATCCTCACCCTGATCTGCAGCAGTGACCGGACCCCATCACTTGGGAGGGAGTCACATAGCGCTGTGTGGAGTGAAAACTGCTTCCTTAACGCCAGACACACAGGCCCTCGTGCTGCTGTTTCATTGCTTGGTGACAGCTGGGAAATCACTCGTCTCTATGAGATCCAGCAAACCAGGTTTGACACAGCACACTTGTAATCCCAGCATTCTGGGTGGCCGAGGCCGAAGGACTGCAAGCTCAAGCCCAGCCTGGTCAATTTAGTAATTAAGGAAGATCTTGTCACAAAAGATTAAAAAAAAAACCAAAAAACTGGAGATTTACTCAGTGCAAAGGCCATGGGTTCAACCCCTAGTTCCTCAAAATAAATAAATATAAGGGACCCATAATGTTTTATACATGCAGTACAGCTGGCAATGTCAAAGACCTTCTGTCCCTATCAATACACAAAACCACAAAGGTGGGGACACATGGGTTACATGAACCCTGGCCCTGTTCTCTTTGCCAATGCAAAATTGAGATGTTGGCAGAAAGGGGTGCACCCCCCGAGGCGGAATCTTCCAGATGCTTGGGTTCAGACTCACAAATGGAGGGGAGTAGGTGGGGGGACAAATGCAGAGATGATGGGACCCAAACCTGTTACCTTCTCGGCACACTTTTTAATGACTGTGGCCAGCTCTGAGACCACGAGGTCAACACACTTCAGGCTTGGCTCTTTGAGTTTTACAATCTGTTTTTTCACAATGGCTTCAAAGGCCATGTCCGGGGTGAAGAGCCCCGTCCTGGGTCATGCGGAGGGTGGGACGAGGTAGAAAGACACCCAGGGACAGTGCAGGCCACACACCCGGGACAGGAGACAGAGAGAGAGAGAAGAAATGAGAATCAGCTGGTTAGTTCATGCACGGAGGAGCCTGAGCCCACATTTGCCCCGGAAGCTGCTTCGGATCGGAGGCCAGGCAAGGCAGGGCTGTGCCTGGGGGCTCGTTAGAGATGTGCTGTGGAACGCTGTCTCTCTCTGGACAGCTAAGGTCTTGAATGGTCACATCTGTGATGACAGGCTTAGGGTGGCAACTGGCAAGCCATCTGGGTTGGTCTGTCCCCCTCCCTCTTCCAACCGAAGAAGCTTAAGAAGCAAATGGGAGCGTGGCCAGATGAGGTCAGAAGACTCAAGCAGAAACTGCTGGCCAACCCAGAGCATCAGGGACACCACGGTCGCAGAAGCACAGACGCCCAAATGGAAGCACTCCGGCTGCCTGGCCAAGCACGCTGCCCTGGGAAACGACCGGGTGGGGGAGCCCAGCAAATCCTGCCAGGGTAGAGGCAGCCGCCTGGGAACAGGGCACACAGAAACTTGTCACCGGGCAGATTGAGGGCGGGCTGGCCTGGGGAGAGGGGTGGCATGGTGTGTAGGGGACTTGGCAGGGCCACTGAGGGCCACTCGTTATGCTGCTGGCATCTGGGCTCTTCCCAGTGCCATGAAGATTGGAAAAAGAAGCTGGCTCTAGGGAAGCCCCAGGACGCCAGGCATTTGTCAAAAAGGGGTGACAGCCAGGGAGGTTCAGTGGCTCGGCCTCCAGCAGCAGATGCGGGCTCCCTCTCTGCTCCCCAGAAGACAGCAAAGCGACAGCCCCGATTCCACCAGACACATGCTAGGCTTGGTGTCAGGGCCCAGGGCGGCCGTGCACCCAGCTGGCCGGCTCCAGAGGCCTGGCACCCCCAGGGGTGGCACAGGCTCACTCAGTCCCATCCCCACCTCTGCAGAAGCTGCAATCAATCATGGACACTGACGCAGCCTGGGTGCTAGGCAGCGCGGGGGCCTGACACCAAACCCCCGTCCCCGGATTCCACAAGGCCAGGAGGCACTGCCGAGGTCCGATACCTTACTGGTACACTGCCTAACTGTATTGATTAGCTCCTGGATAACCAGGTCCACACATTTCAGACAGGGCTCTTTCAGCTTCACCACCTGCTTTTTCACAATGGCCTCGAACGCCAAGTCCGGGGTGAAAAGCCCAGTCCTAAAACCGCCCAGACCCGGGGCGAGGGAGGTAAGTCAGAAAGAAACACAGCAGATCAGCGATTCTCTGCACACTAGCTGGGCCCCCAAGAATAATTTGTTCTTTTTTTTTTTTCCCGGAACCAGGGATTGAACTCAGGCCCTTGCACTTGCCAGGGAAGTGCTTATTCCACTGAGCCATCTCCCCGGCCCCTCGGGCCCCCAAGAAGAAAGGAGGTCACGTCTCATGGAGGGGGTGGGCACAAATCCACTGCCAGGAAAGCCCCGGGTGACCAGCAGACTACCTTTGTGGACATAGGAGGACCTGGTTGGGGACAAACCTGACCCAGCCCTGCCCCCTCCCACCTGCAGCAGCAGTCTGTCTTCCCTGGTAAGGTCAGGCCTGCGCGGCCAGCTGGGCCACCATCCTGAGGCTGTGACACAACCCCAAGGGACCAGAATGTGCCCCTGCTCAATGTCCTCGCAGACCCACAAGGGGAGGCTTCCAGCTAAGGGCAAAACCCCACCTCCCAAATGGGGAGCCCCACCGAGGTCCAGGGAACAGGCTAGAGTGGCCCTGTGCAGGGAGGGGACCCCAAAAGGCGCCTCCCCATGGGGAACTTGCCTGACTCCGTGGATGTTCTTAATGGCGTAGCTGATCTCCCGTCTTAAGTCTTTCTCATCAAACTCCATCTGAGAAGAGATGAGGCAGGCATACTCGAGAGGGGACGCAGGACAGCTGCGGCCAAGGTGCGCTTGAACTCATGGGGCAGAGCAGTTACCAGGTCAAAACCAAGAAGACAAATATAAAACCCCCAGTTTCAGCGAAGAGGCTGTGACACCAGCACATGCTGCCCATGTGCACTGAGGGCTGGGGACAGTGGCCCTGCGCTGTCACCTGTGAATTCTGAGCACTGCAGACTCATTGGAAGGAACAAAGACTAGCTACATGCTGCCGCCATTCACAACTGCTGAAAAATGTCTGGGGGGAGGGTGGGAGAGAGAGAGGGAGACACGGACAGTGACAGAGATGGGGGTGCCAGGTGCGGCCACGTACATCTGTAGTGCCAGCTGTCTGGGAGGCTGAGGCAGGAAGATCACAAGTTCAAGTCTTGTCTGGAACTCACAGTGATGCTACCCTTTCTTTTTTTTTTTTTTTAGTGTTATGTATTTGGTACAGGATCTCACTAGGCAGCTGGGACTCTTAGTGATCCTCCTGTCAGCCTCCCCAGCGCTGGGATTACAGGCCTGCGCCACACCTAATCTTGACAGCTGCTCAGGCACACCCGGGGCAGGGGCATGGCATGTGGTACTAGGGATCGAACTTGGGTCCTTGTGCTTGCCTAGGCAAGTGCTTAGATCAGTGAGCTATCTCCACGGCCCACCATTTCTTCATTTAAAAAGGAAGGAAAATAAAGGAGAAGGTTCCAGAGCTGACACTTCTACAAGCATCAGAGCAGACCTATGTACAGATACCCTCTTACACATACAATTCCACACACCAGGACGTGTGAGCGACGGCCCTTCACATGGAACTCTAACGCCAATACACGGGGCCGCCAACACACCGAGGATGTTTCCCCTCGTGAGCTGACTCTATTTTTTCTTTCTAGCTTTTCTGCACTACTAGGGATTGAAGCCAGGGCCTTCGCACTGGGGCTTCATCCCCAGCCCTTTTTCCTTTGAGACGGGGTCTCATTACATTGTAAGGGGCTCAAGCAGAGCTTGAATCTAGTCCTCCTGCCTCGGCCTCCCAGGCCCCTGGGCTCACAGGTATGAACCATTGTGCCTCACTGATCCTGCCTCTTATTTTCTACGTACAGTCATCCCTCAGCAGCCATAGGCAATGCTTCTAGAACTTTCCCTGTTGGCAGCAGAATCCATGGGTGCTCACGCTTTCTGCACTCAGTGCCATTTGCATTAAGCCCATGCACATCCTCCTTTAGACACTAATTCTTCCTAGATGACTTAGAATACCTAATACAGTGTATTTTGAAGAGAACACGTACTGGTTTTGCCTGCAGAAGGAAATGGAATCTTCACACCCAGAGCCCCTGAGCTGTGCTCTCTGGGTAGAAAGCTCCAAGACAGCCAGGCACAAGCCTGTAATCCCAGCACTCTTGGAGGTTGAGGCAGGAGATTATGAGTTGGAGCCTAGCCTGGGCAGTTTAGCAAGACCTCCCCCAATCAATCAATCAATCAATCAATCAATCAATCAACAAATGGGCTGGGAGGGCCGGGGATACAGCTCAGCAGCACAGCACCTGCCTGGCAAGCACAAGGCCCTGAGTTCAATTCCCAGTACGGAAAAAAAAAAGGGGGGGGGGCGCGCTGGGGATGTAGCTCAGTGTGGAGGCCCTGGGTTCAAATCCTAATTTAAGGGAAAAAAGTCCAGGCCAAGTAGGAGGCAGCTGACCAGAGATGGTGCCCAGCGGATGCTACCTTCACCAGCTCGAAGGGAAAGCGCTCGTGGAAGATGCGGTTGATCCGGGCACCCCCCGAGAGCTCCAGCGTGTCCACCTGGTCTCCGGAACCCTCGATCCTCTTCTCAAAGTCTACCCCGAATTGCTGGACCATCCTGGGAGGAAGAAGAGGGCATGAGCGTCAAGGCATTGGGGGCCTGCAGTCAGGCTACCAATCCAGCCGGAGCTTCTTTTCCTTTTTTTTTTTTTGCAGTACAGGGGATCAAACTCGGGACCTTTCACTTGCCAGGCAGGTACTTAAGCTGCTGAACTATAACCCCATATCCTTTTCCTGTTGTCTTTTTTTTAAAAGTTTTAAATCATAGACTTGTGTTAAAGCACACCATCGAATACAAGAGCTGCCAATTATGGTCAGCAAACACTCATTACAAGTTGGACTTGCTCTTGGCCCCTGACAATGAATGACTGACTCCATCAGAGAAGGCAAAGAATATATATATATATATATATATATATATATATATATATATTCAGGGTTTCACTACAGATTGGACTCATAGCAATCCTCCTATTTTCAGCCTCCCAAGCTCTGGGATTACAGGCTCGTGTCACCACGCTCAGTCTCGATCAGCGTCTCAATGTGCCCTTAGGGGTGGGACTGGCACTGCATGCCGGGAATCAAACCTGGTCCCTGCATCTGCCTAACCAGGCGCTTTAATCTGCTGAACTATCTGGCCGGCACTAAAACAGCAATCATTGCTCCAAGCTTGTGGGTGACACTGTGATGTCACAGGTGTGCCACTGTCCCACACTCAACATAATGTGACAGAACCCGAGGTGACAGGGCAGCTCTGGCGGGGTGTCCAGCCCTGATGGCTGGGAGGCCGTGGGTGGGTGGTGCTGCCACTGAGCCTCAGTTTCCTCATGCCCAATGTGGGGCGATGGCAGTGGCATCTCTCTCACAGCCAGCGAGGACTGAAGGTGTTTGTAGATCTTGGGAGCTCCCAAGAAGTCCCCAAGTTTAAAATCCATTGTGAGTTTGTGCACTCACATGAAAGAAAAAAACCTATCAGTAATTCACCTCAGTCTCCTGAGGTGAATTAAAATGGATCTGTTTTCTTGTTTTTGTTTTGTTTGTTGAGGACACAGTCTTGCTATGCAGCCCAGGCTGGTCACAAATTTGAGATCCTCCTGCCTCAGCCTCCTGAGTCCAGGGATCAGAGATGTGCAGAAAGATGTCTGGCTCACTCTTTTTGATTGTATTTGAGATGGGTGTCTCACTAAGGCACTCAAGCTGGCTTTGAACATGGGATCTTCCTGCCTCAGCCTTCCAAGTGGCCAGGCTGACAGGTGTGCACCACCACCCTATTCCTGTACTCTCTATCTTGCTGCTTGCCTTTCCCTCTTCCTGATTACCCTGGGAACCAAGACACCTGTCATGTTCACTGTGCCAACCCTGGTGCTTGGCAAAGGCGTGATGAGGATCTGCCTTAGACTCCCAAGGCTGGCAGGGGACAGGGGTACACGTACTGCAGCAGGGCTTTGGTTTTGCGTGTGGGGTCGTCGGGCCGGAAGTTCTTGTACTCCTCCACCTCCTTCTCCAGGGACAGCAGCTGGCTCTGCAGCTTGCTGCGAAGGTTGGGCAGGGACTCCCGGATGTGGTTGGTCAGTTGCTGCAGAGGCCAGACGGGAGCTCAGTCAGGGCGGCGCGAGCAGGGGGCCTGCCTCCCTCGGCTGCAGGCTGAGGCTGCTCTAAGCCTTGCTCACTCCAGTCCTGGGTGACAGTGACAGAAATGTCCTGCACATACCCAGATATTTGCAGCGGGGGTTGGAGAGGTGGCAGGCCTGATGGCCTCAAGGAGCAAGGCACTGCAGACAGACAGTGCCCAACGGGTTCCCAGCAGAGAAGGTGTGGGTAGGACCCATGCAGCTGCTTGCTGGGACCACACAGCGAGGTCTGTGCGGGGACAGGGGTGAGCTGACCCAGGCAGCGACCAGCCACAGGTCCCCGAGGCAGAGTGAACAGCACAGAGACAGCAGAACTGCCCAGGAAGCGGGAGGGGGCTGACCAGGTGGCCAGGTTTTCATCTCCAAAGACAGCCTCGAGGCATGTGCATGGCAGGTTGGGGGAACAGGTCCTTTCCCCCACAGCACCTTTAGTGCTGTGCTTCTGCTTTTTTTTATAACCTTTTAACAGGGGCCTGGTGCACTCAAGGCCAGGGCTCTGCTGTGAGCAGCACTGGGAGTCTGCCAACTGCTCCCCACAGTACAGGGAGGTGGCACTGCATGAAGGGACAGGAGGGGACCGAGGGGGCAGGACGGGTCGAGCCCGAGTGTGCGAGCATGCATGGCCAAAGTTACAGGTTGGGGGGGTGCTGCTGTCCAGGGCAAGGAGGAAAAGGGAGAGGGGGTGGTACTGCGCACACACACACACACACACACACACACACACACACACAGATCCCCTTCTCCAGGATCTCTAGAAGCCCAGAAAGGTGTCACCTCTGAGGAAGGGACAAGCACACCCACTGTGGGATGGGGGCGGGAGGACATTTGCTTGTCTGGGGCTGAATGGACATCTTTTTACCAGGGGCTCAAGGGGGCTGCTTCCCCTCCTCGCCTCCTGCCCCTTGCAGCCTGCTGGCTTCTGGTCTGTGGGGCCCCACCCAGGGGACGCCTGGTTCCCCCACTTCCTTCCTTCCCCCACCCACTCCACAAGCACTTATCTGGCCTTGATCCTCCCCTATCCCTTGCTCATGCAATGCCACTGCAACCCAATCCAGGCACTGGGGAAGGAAGGAAGGAAGGAAGGAAGGAAGGAAGGAAGGAAGGAAGGAAGGAAGGAAGGAAGGACAGATGGATGTCCATGTGCCTACTCTGTTGCCCCCATCCTGACAGCTGCCAGATCCGGGAGGGGACAGGTGAGGGACAACCTTGGCAGGGAGGTGGCGAAGGCCAGGCCGGGTGCCCAGTGCTTCGAGGCACTGCCCTACCCCACAGCAGGACCTGGGTCCCATGGGAACCCTGCACGCTATGTGATGCTAGAACTTGAGGCTTCACACTGTCTGGGAGCCTAGGTCAGGGCTGGGGCCCCAGGGGAGAGAAAGGAAGGGCTCCCCGAGATCCTGCTGTGCAGAAAAAGCAAGAAGGGCGGGGTCGGGGACTGTGTCCTTTTTGTAGAAAAGAAGGGGAACTTCTCAAGATCCTTCCTGCTTTTGTGGACAGAAAGGAACTTGGGCTGGGCAAGATGGCAATGAGAGGAGCTTGGGGGCGGAGACGGGCACCCAGCTGGGCATCCTGCTTATGACACCGCCACCCCCAGGCCACACTATGGGAAGCGGGATGGGACACCCCTGAGTGCTGTGAGTGCCTCCGCCACACACTTGCGGGCTCCTTGACTCCAGCCCCTAGGACGCAGGCTGGGCTGGCCTACAGGGACCCGCAGGGCCAGGCAGTGGAGGCCTCTCACTTAGCTCGAACTCGGTGCTGCTGGCTACCCTGCCTGGCGCAGGACACGTAGCCTTTAGCCAAGATCCTCAACCCGGGAGCCATTTGCAAACTTCCAGGCACATAACTGAGTAATTACAATGAATGGAAATTAAATTCCCTGTAATAAAAACAGCCAGACTAAAAACTGTCACAGTGTCAACCTACTGATGACAAGGGCTTCACCAGACTCAGAGTTAAATGCAGTTTTTTGGTTTTTTTTTGAGACAGGGTTGCATATGTAGTCTAGGCTGACCTTGAACTCACTAGGGAGCCTAAGCTAGCCTTGAACTCCTGGTGGTCGTCCTGCCTCAGCCTCCTGAGGACTGGGATTCCAGGCAAAGGCCACCACACTATGCTTTGAACGCACTTACAGAGCGGCGAACACCGACTGAACAGTTTGGTAACACAGCTGCTGCTGCAGACTGAGGACAACCCGAGTGTGGACAAAAGCTGCGTGCAGTGACCAGCCGGCCCACCGCACACACGGTCCCCCCCCCCGCCCCAGGGCCATACCTGGTTCAGGGCCTTCTGCAAATGTGGGGTCCCCATGCGGTCGGCCATGTGCCGGTACGCAGGGTGGGAGAGGAAGAACTTCCTCTCAGCCGCCAGCGCTGCCCGGATGTCTTTCCTGCCCTCGATGTCCTTCTGGCTGCGGTTCACCACGCCAATGTAGCCTGCAGGAGACAGGTGCTCAGGGCAGGGGCCACGCCAGCACGGCCAGAGGCCTGGGTGCACAGTGGGTCTGGCCCGGGGCTGGGCACAAGGCCATCCCACATGCGGCGACAGACACAGCAGAAGGGAGCTGGGGAAAGCAAGGCCAAGGTTCAGGGAGTGTGCATGGAGGCCGGGCGAGGGAGGACAGAAGACAGAGTCAGAGACAGGTGGGAGGGCCTCGTGCAACTCCATGGTGAAAATGCTGGTCGCGCAGGCTGAGGCCTTGAGTTCCACTCCCCAGTGCCACAGAAATAAACAAATAAATAAGGCCACGTATAGCGACACCCACTTTAATCCCAGCTCCTCGGGCAGGAGGCTGAGGTAGGACAATTGTATGTTTCAGCCCTGCCTGGATGACTGTAACTTAGCAAGGTCTGGCTGCAAAATGAAAATGCTGAGACTGTAGCTCGTCCTGCAGGCCCGGGGTTCCATCCCCAGCATCACCTCTACACACACTTAAGTGCCAGAAAAGCCACAGCTGCTGGCCATAGACACGGGCACCTGGCAACGAGCATGAACCAGCAGACGCTGTGGGAAGTAAACGTCCCTCAGTGGCAGTCGGGGTGGGCACTCTGTGAACTAACTGGCCACTGGTGTCATTGTTAGTAGCATGATTAACACTGGGAAAGCAGTAGGGTCCAGGGGACAAAGGGCACAGCGACAGGAACATGCATTCAGGCTACATATTCTTTGTCTCTTGGTCTGTTTTGCTCCTAAGACACAGTCTCACTACACAGGGCAAGCTGGCCTGGAATTCACTATGCAGCCCAGGCTGGCCTCAAACCCTGGCGATCCTCCTGCTTCAGCCTCCCAAGTGCCGTGCCACTGTGCTGCATCTTCATGGAGGGGGTTGTCTGTGCTCCTCCTGGGAGGGCAGTGTGCCCATCACTTATCCAGCTGGACCCATTTTACAGATGGAAGCGAGGCAAGCCAAGGCGGGGCCTTGGTGGGAGCCAAGATCTGAACCCAGGCCTGTGTGAGGCCAAACTCCTGCACATGGGGCCGAGAGACAGCGGTCGGCAAGGAGAGGCCGCTTGTGGGGCATCTTGGTCCCTTTCCCAGTGCAGGGGCTGAGGGCCCTGGAGGCAGGGACGGGCAGTCTCTGGCTTTCTCTGGTGGCAGTAGCGCTGGGATTGGGGCCACGCAGCAGCCACAGTGGGAGCCCTGGACATGGTGGGAACCCAAGCTGTGTGGGGAAGAACATGAGGCGGAAACAGCCTAAGAGCTGGGGCAGCCTGAAAGGAAGAGCTGCCACTCGTGGACGGAGAAAGGGAGCCAGCGCAGGGTGAGGTGCCAGTGAAGCAGGAGGCAGAGATGCCTGTGCCACGGGCTCCTCGCCCTGTTGGGGACCCCGGAAGCCAAGAGCCCGGGCTCAGGGGAGCCCTCACAGACAAGGTGGAGCTGGGCCAAGTGGCTGCGGGTCGCGTGGGTCAGCTTCCTCGGACCACCATGTGGCCAGTGTCACCTGCCTGGCCCTGACCTCACCATCGTGACCACGCTCCCCTCTCTTCAGGGCCACCACAGTACCCAGGATCCCACTGATGCTCCTGGAGCCAGGAGGGCTGACAGCTGAGGTCTGGAGTCCGCCCCAGGCCCATCCCAGTACTCAGGCAACAACTGCCTCAGCAAAGGAGTAAGTCAAAGTGACACGGACAGCCAAAGAGACAGGCAGGGGACACTGCTGAGGGTGAATCCCAGGGCAGCTGTGGCTTGAATAAGGGAAACTAAGACCTGGGTGGCTCACAGCACCATGACACAGTGACAAGCACAAACAGCCTTGGCACCCAACAGGCAGGGATGGTGTGGTGGCCTTTGGGTCCCTCTGAGGAAGTGGCCAGAACATTCTAGAATCTTCTGGAGGACATGTGGAAGTGTCCTGAAACACAAGTAGGTCATGAAGTGATAGAGTGTGGGAGTGCTGGGGCGCAGAACCAGGTCTGGCTATTCCCTGGCTCTGGAAGTGGAGCCACCCTTGCTGTGCCTCATTTTCTTCTACAAAATGAGGAAGAAAGAGCCCTTTGGTTGGATTACTGATTAAATGGGTTCTTAGGAGCCAGGGAGATAGCTCAGTAGAATAAGCGCTTGCCTGGCAAACACAAGGGCCTGAGTTCAATCCCAGGTCCCCCCCAAAAATAAATAAATAAATGAGTACTTAAACATTGAGCTTAAAATACTACCTGGTGTATAACAGGCACTTAATAAACTTTAATGTTTAAACATGAAAAAAACTAGCCAGGTATGGTAGAGCAGACCTATCATGCCAGTATTCTGGGAGGCTGAGGCAGGAAGATTGCCAAGGTTGAACCCAGTCTAGGTTAACTTAGCAACTTAGCAAGGCCCTGTCTATGGCTATAGCTCAGTGTGAAGGCCAGGGGTGCCAGTCTCGGTACTGCAAATAGTAAGAGCAATCGTAATAGCACTAGTAGTGGCAGAATCATCAGGAAGAAAACAGAGTGCACTTGGCTCTGCAGGGATTTGGTACTGGCTGTGTACGGCAGCTCCTGAGGTGGGAGCTACCCGTGCCCACAGAGGCTTCCAGGAAAGCCTCCCTCTATTGCTGTGGGGTCTGGAAGTGTAATAGAGTATAGGAAAGAAAATGAGCAGAAGGGGGCTGCAGTGCATCCCCAACACCGCAAAACAAAACAAAACAAAACAAAACAAAGGCCACTACGCCCCCCGCCGCCGGCCCAGCACCCACCTCTGCGCAGCGGCAGCAGCTTGTTCTCCAGGACGTCCCGGGCGTCAGTGCCCTCGTCCATCAGGTCGAGCTTTGTGATGACGCCGATGGTCCGCAGGCCTGCAAGAGCGGGAACTGCAGTGCTGAGGGACGAGCCCCCATTTCCCGTGTGACCCATGAGGACAGACAGGCCCTGGGGCCACCCCTGGAGTCCCTCCTGTCCCCAGAACCCAGAGGATCACAGTTGAACCTGGCACTGGTGATTGACCTGAGCACTGGTGTCATGTGTGAGGGGACGCAGGGCAGGTGTCAGTCTGGGTACCAAGGGGGACCCACCTATTCTACACTTCCCAGGGAGAGCATGGGTTGCCCATGTCAGCAGGTAAGGGGACCACACGGGTGAAAGGTCATCACGTCAGTGGACAGCAGAAAGGATGTGGCATCCGGGGAGGAACTAAGGAGCAGCATCGAGCCCAAGGGAACTGTCCCACCCGGCCAGAGCATGTGTACACAGACAGGAGAGTCCAAATGTCTGGGACCAAGGCCTGGGTAAGTTGCTAAGGGCCTGTCCCATGGATGGCAGCACCGGCCCAACACCAAGTGACACAGGATGGCGTCACATGGGCATGTGCACAGAGGCACACGACAGACAGGTAAGGGAGAGGGTTAAGCTTTAAAAATAAGAATTGGGCCGGCCAGATAGCTCAGCAGATGAAAGCGCCTGCTAGGCAGAGGCAGGGACTGGCTTTTGATCCCCAGCATGCACTGCCGGCCCCACCCCCCAGGGCCTGCTGAGACAGCAGGTGCGGTAGCGCATGCCTATACTCCCAGAACTTAGGAGGCTGGAAACGGGAAGATCACTGAGTCTGATCTGTGTAGTGAGACCCTGTAGACTCTGTACTAAATACATTAAAATAATAATAACAACAACAATAATAATAATAAAGAGTTTATGGGCTGGTGAGATAGGTCAGTGGACTAAGTGACTGCTTAGGCAAGCGCCAGGACCAGGGTTTGATCCCTGGCACCACATGCCACACTGGCCCGGCCCCCAAGAGCACTGAGCCGCCACTGAGACTGGACATGTTGTGGCCCATGCCTGTAATCCTGGTGCAGGAGAGGCTGAGACAGGAGGATCTGAGGCAGGAGCTTCAGTTTCAGCCCAGCCTAGGCAACCCTGTCTCAAAAAAAAAAATGCTGGGAGACTGGACACGGTGGCGCATGCCTGTAATCCCAGCACTTGGAAGGCTGAAAACAGGAGGATCACTGCAGTCCGATCTGTGTAGTGAGACCCTGTAGAACCCCCCAAAAGAGGATGGGATGGAGCTCAGTGCAAAGGCCCTGGGTCTAAGCCTAGCACCATAAAAAGTGGCCCTGTCTGTGCCTTACTTGGGTAACATCCCCAACACTCAGAAGCAACCCCAAAGCCTGATGGCAGCTCCCTTTTTTGGTAGCACTGGGGATGGAACCCAGGGACTTTGCACTGAGCTTCACCTCCATCCCTTTTTTTTCAATCCATCCCTTTTTATTTTTTGACAGGTCTCAAAAGTTGCTAAGTTGTCCAGACTGGGCTAGAACTGGTGACCTTCCTGCCTTAGCTCCCAGTTTTGGGATGTGGTGGCCTGTCCACCACACCCACCCCTTCAGCCCCCAACCCACGCTGTCCCCACTGACAGGCTGCACTGCAGCCACACAGATTCTTGGTGGCGACACTCCAGGCTCAGGGCACCCCAGGGTCATGTCACCTTGCTGTCCTCCTGGGTTTGGCCTCTTCTCGTTTCTGCTCTTCCCTAAACCTCACTTCCTCAGGGGCCTGGTCACCACAAGGGCTTCCCCTTCCTGCCAGCTGCCATCTCTGGGCAGACCTTGTGCTACGGTGTCTCCCTCGCTGGAGCATCAGCGTCCTGGCCTGTTTCCTGGATCCCTTGCTGCACCCCCAAAGCCCAGACCTAGCCTGTAGCAGTGGGCACCCAACTACATCCTAAGTGGAACCTGAGCACCAGACGTGGGTGCCCTGGGCTCAGCCGCTGCCGCCCACTCCTCCCCCCCACCTGAGCCGCCCGCTGACCCCCTCCTGCCTTCGAAGTCGGGCTGGATCACTCAACCTGAGCAGCACAAGGGGATGACCCGCCAGCGGCCCTCACAGCAGGCCTGCAGCTGGGGCTGCCCTTCGCACCACGACATGGGCTGACTACTCCTCGGGGACAATGAACAACTCTCAGACGGGAGCTCTGAACTCCTGCGCGGGTCCTGCAGCTGCGTTACAGCTGCATCTTTTCGGGTTTTTTATTTTTATTTTTTTCATAATTTTATTGACAGACAAATAGCAATGAGACAGTTTCAAATCAAATTGGTCATCTTTTTGTTTTTTGAGCTAGGGCCTCACTACTATGTAGCCCAGGCTGGCCTTGAATTTAGGGAGATCTTCTTGCCTCAGCCTCCCAAGCGCTGGGATTACAGTGCTATATAGGGTTACAGCTTACACTACCACACCTAGTTGCCCTACAGCCTCCTGACAAGACAAGAGGCCCAGATGCTACCTGGTTTGTTTTTCTTGATCATTCTCAAATTCACCAACTGATCTAGGCCCACCAACCACAGCCTAATCCACTGGCATGCACGCCACAGCAGGCTGTTTCGATCACTGAATGCTCTAAAAGGTGCACCATCACTGGCCTAGACCTGCCAAAGCCTAACCCAAATCAACCCTTCTACTCGTGGAAGGCCCAGGGCACTGTCAGTGACAGAAAGTTGCCCAACACTGCACACCACGCTCCTCCTCTGTGCTGGCATGGGAGGCACCATGATGCCCGAGGAAGGGCAGCCAACTGCCCCTGCAATGGCCTCCCAGGGACACGCTGCTTCTAAGGAGGGCCGGGGAGAGGGGCCGCTGCCTGAGCCCCCCGGGTACCTTGGGGGTCGACCTCCTTAGCCAGCTTGAGGGCATCGGAGTTGGCCAAGTCCATGTTGGCGGGCGTCACGGCCAGGATCAGGCTGCTCTCCCGGCTGATGAACTGCAGGATCATGTCCTTGATCTGGTATTCGATGTCGGGGGGCTGGTCCCCCACGGGCACCTTGGTGATGCCCGGGAGGTCGATGAGGGTCAAGTTCAGCACTGAGGGGAAATCAGAGCATGGTGGTCAGAGTCTGGGAAAGGCAGCCACACACGCCCTGCAGGGCCACGTCTTTTTCTCTTCTCTTCCTTCCCTTCTTCCTTGACTGTATATTGGAGGTCAAATTTGGGGCACTCTGCTAGCGTTACATCTTCAGCTCTCATTTATTTTCTGAGACAGGATGTTGCTGTGTCGCCCAGATGAGAATACAAGTTGCAATCCTCCTGCCTCAGCCTCCTCCCGTAGTGCAGTACCAGGTTACACCACTATGCCCAGCACTTTGCCTGCACTAGGTGAGTGCCCTACCACAGAGCCACATCCTAAGCCCTGGTTCACATCTGTGCACCAGTAATCCCTGTGAGTGTCCCTGCCACAAACACTCTGCACCTGCTCTACTCCAGTGACACAGACCTGCATTCAACAAATGGCTAAATAAATTTTAGCCCAGCCAGCCAGCCAGCCAGCCAGCCAGCCAATGCCAAGGAAGCCTTAGAAGCAAAATGATGGTACTTCGATGAACCTACTCGGGGCTGGGGAGATAGCTCAGCAGCCTAAATGCTTGCCTGGCAAGCGCAAGGTTCAATCCCTGCTACTGCATGCTGTTCAGGCCCCAGACTGGGCGCACCATGCTGGCCACCAACCAGGTGTGGTGGTGCACTCCTGTAATCCCAATGCTGGGGAGGCTGCGACAGGAGGATCGCTGAGTCTGAGCTGCACAGTGAGACCCTGGACCAAACAAATAAGAAAATAAAAGATTTAAAAAAAAAAAAAATCCTCAATCTAGGTGCGGTGATTTGTGCCTCTAATCCTAGCACTTAGGACACTGAGGCAGGAGGACTGCCAGAAACTCAAGGCCAGTCTGGGCTACACAGCAACATCCTGTCCGAAAAAAACTGCACGCGCACACATGCGCGCGCGCGCGCACAACACACACACACACACACACACACACACACACAAATAAGTGGCTCCTGTGGCATGTCACAACCATACTGCACACACATATATAATACATACACACACACTACAGGGCACTGAGGCGCATGCCATAATTCCAGCATCTGGGAGGCTGAGGCAGGATGATCACCACAGTTTGAGACTGCCTGGGCTAAAACCAAAAAAAGAAACAGAACACCCCTTCCTCCCACCTGAGGTAGCAAGCCAGGCCTCAGGGCCTGACGAACAGCCACATGTTGCTGTCAGAATACAGAGTTTTAAAGCTGGGACAACTTACAGAAAAGCCTGATTTCTGGCTCCTCCTTTTTGATGGTGCTGAGCCTGGAACCCAGGGTCACATGGGCTAGGCAGCCCAGCTACCTGCTCATGTCCTTTCTTTTCTTTTTTTCTTTTCTGTTCCTTTTTTTTGCAGGGGACATGAGACCCCAGGTCTTCACACTGAACCACATCTCCAGCCTTTTTTAAACTTTTAATTTGGAGGCTGGGTCTCGCTAAATTCCCTGGGTTGCGCTCTCATTGGCAATCCTCCTGCCTCAGCCTTCTGGAGGGCTGGGATTAGAGGTTTGTAATCCCCACGCCTGGGGGTGTCGTTCTTTCCTCTGAGGCAGGGTCTCCCAGCGCAGCCTCCCACGTGGCTGGGATTCCAGGCTCCTGCGCAGGCACCTGGCTGTGGCTCTTACTGAGGGACCTGAAGCCCCAGTGCCTTGAAGCAAAGGAGTCCTTTTCCCTGCGCTGCACCCCCTGCCCAGCGCGCCCCTTTTGGACCAGCCACACAGAAGCCACTTGCTGGAGCAGCTGCCAGTCGGTTGCACTGGGAGGCGCGCTCGCGCAGGTTCTGCGCATGTGCAGAGCCGGCCAAGGGGCGCTGCCCCGCCCGCTTCCTACCGTGCGGTGAGTAGACCCGTAGGTTGATGGGCACCGGGGAGATGCCTTTGTTGGTCCCCGTGACCCGGTCCGTCTCTGCTTCAATCTCCTGCCGGACTTCATCGAAGTCTGTAAACTTTTTGGATTTGCAGTGCAGAAACTCGGCATATTCTGCAGAGAAGGAGGGCGTTGAAAATGAGTCAGGGAGCAGTCCGGTGCGTGGGGACAGGCGGCTTCTGCGTGGAACAGCAGCGCTGTCAGGAAGAGAAAGAAAGGGAGCAGCCACAGTCCCTCTTGCGACAAGGATTGTGCTCAGAGGTGGCGCTCTGGGGAGGTGGGTGGACGTGGCAGCGCTGAGCTGACGGGCAGAAGTGGGTCCCTGGCACTGTGACCTGCGCTGGTGCCCGTCCTGGCCCCTTTCCCCTGCTCTCCTCTGCCGGTGCACCCTTCCTCCTGGGTGCCCTCCCGCCGGCTGCTGCCTGGGAGCAGCTGACCCAGCAATGAGCCCCTGGGACTGTGAGTCAGGATACAGCGTTTGTCCCTTTATCACCTATTTTGTCATGGCAACAAAGAGCTGACTCATAGCCCCTTCTGGACCCTAGAGATTCTAAAATGGATACAAGTGTTTGCCTTACACAAAATGCCCTGGTATGGAAGTGTGGTAGCTTTTAAACTTTTTCAGGTTTTGGAGTATTTCCAAAGACAGAGTGAGCTGTTATGAGGAAATGACCCCAGTCGAAACTCAAAATTCACATTTCACATGCACACTACCTACATGGTCCAAAGGCAATTTAAGCAGAGCTTTCAGCCTCCCCACGTTTGCCCAGGGACACGTACAAGGCCCCAGGTGTGGAACTTCCCACAAGTGATGTCACACTGGGGCTCGAAGGGAGCATTTTACATTGTAAATGCTCAGATGGGGCAAAGGTGCAGTATGTGGATTAGAATTCTACCAACTATGTCTTGACCACTGTGACTCAGAAAAACAGCAGGCGTGCGACCAGCGCTTGTTCTTTTCTCCTTCTTTTAACGCAGAGGGGGGTGGGGGTGGAGCCCAGGGCCTTGCACGGCCTAAGCGGCACTGTGTGGGCACTGACTGCACACTCCCAGCCCTGTTTGCCTGCACACAGACCCGATGAGGAAACAGCAGGCTGTGTCACCCCGAGGGGCGCCAAGTGTGACAAGGACTTCATTCAGTGCTGACAGGACTCTGAGTCCTGGGTCCTTACTGCAGGTCACAATGGTGTTCACAGGCCTTACTTGACCTTCCTCAAGATACCCAGGCTCTGGGGCATGGGAGCCTCTCACGGCCTTGCCAGGGTCCACCTCAGCGTTCCTTCTTCACAGCCCCCTCACATGCCTTCTAGGGATCATGCAGATGAGCCCAGGGCTATCTGTAAGCCGGGCTAAGAGCAACAGAAGGCAGATGAGTGACAACCGGGTCCTGTCATGGAGCCCCAAAACACAGAGATGGGACAAGAGAAGCAAAAGCCACACGGATGCTGAGTGGGCCAGTGTTCACCGAACATCTCCCAGCTGGTCAAATGTTGGAACTTCACTAGCAAAATTGGGGCTCAGAGATCACAGCTCCCGCAGTGATGCTAAAAAGAGAGGGTAACTCATTCGGGACCCCTCCTGTCTCTCAGGAGCTATTCCTGTTCCCCGTTCGTTTTCCCAGTACATTTCGCTACTTTTAAAAATAAAGATAAAGCAGAGCCAAGTGGGTAGGTCTTAGCACTTTGGGAGGCTAAGGCAGGAGGATGGAGTGTTTTGACTCCAGCCTGGGCATTTTAGTGAGATCATGTCTCACAATAAAAATTTAAAATATATACATACATACATACATACATACATATGTACATACATACATATGGGCTGGGGCTGTAGTACAAGGACCCAGAACGGAAAAAGAGAAAACAAGGAAGGAGGGGGGAGCAAGCACAGTGGCAGAGGCGGAGGCCAGGCCAGCACGGAGTTGCCAAGAGGAGCGCTGCCTGCTGGCAGGTCCGTGAGCGAGAAGCTGGAGCTCTCCCGAGCATCCACCAGGAGGAGACCTGGCCACACAAACAACACAGCCAGCAGCAGGGGAAAGGTGTGGGAAGAGCGCCCGTCCCGTTCAGGCAGCCAGGCCCAGCGAGGAGCTGCATGTTGTTGCCCGAGTCCCTTCACACCCAGCCGCCCCCATGCTCTCCAATGCCAGTGCCAGGAAACTGAGGCTCAGGTTGGGGAGGTGACTGGGCCCACAAGCAGCTGGGCCTTGGAACTCTGACAAGGTGACAGGGGTATGGTTCTCAAGCCAGGTAGCCTCTGAGGTCTCCAGAAAGATCCTTGCCTCTGAACCCTTTGACTGTAGGCCTAGGGGACTCACAAGGATCAGACTGGCATCCACAGGGCCTTGGCCACCACCAAGCAGGGCCCAGGAGGAGACTGCAAGAATACAGGGTCCCCCACCCTGCCCCACCCTGCTATCAGCTATCCACTTCCAAAGACAATCACACCAGGCCCTTTACAGGACAAGAGGAAATGCTCAGCTTCTTTTCCTGGAGCTGCTGCCGAGTGGAACAGCCCACCCACACCCACGCTCTCAGCTCCCTTCCGGCTACAGGCCCCGGGGCTTCGCTGCAAGAGAGGCTACACCAGGCGATGTGGAGTGGAAGGCTGGCCCAGGATGTGGGCCTTGCCCTGCAGGCCTCTGCCCCAGGTATCTAGAAAGTCTGGCCCTCTCTGCCCTCAGCCTCCTCCTCTTTCTGCATCAGGACCTGCCACCTGCGCTCTCTCCTGAACAGCCACCCCAGAGCCCAGCAGCTCAGTCCTCTTCCCAGCACAAGTTGCCCACCACAGGTCCCCAGATCCCCATGCCGACCAAAGTTATTAGCTTTGTCTGCAGTGAGGCCCCACTCAGGGCTCAGCCTTTTGATCTGTGCAATGGCCATCACAAGGGACCTGGCAGAGGTCTGGGGGAATCTACATCTGCATAGGAAAATGGTAGTGGGCTGGGGAGATAGCTCAGTGGAATAAGCACTTCCCTGGCAAGCGCAAGGGCCTGAGTTCAATCCCTAGTTCCACCAAAAAAAAAAAAAAAGGAAAATGGCAGCTGTCGCTGTGGTCATCAGAGTGGGCAGGGACTCCACCATCCTCCCAACTGACAGAGGGAGCCCAGAGAGGGCAAGGCACTCTTACAAGTTGCCCAGCACCTCCTGCAGTTCAGCTGTTCCTTCCTGGTCCCTGGTCTGATGCCCCTACTGTCTGATTAAAGATTTACCAGCTCAAATAACACATCAGGGAAGAGGAAAAAAAAAAAGTGCACCAGAGACTACGAGGCGACCTGCCCAGGAGCCAACGTCAGGGCACGGCCAGCCCTGCCCACCTGCTCACCACTGCCCACGGTGCCCCTCCTTCCCTCCCTGTCCACAGTGTTTCCAGGTGACCAAGCTAGTTCCTGGGTCCTGGGCACATGCCCTAGCTGCGTACCACACCAAGCAAGTTCTCTCCGGGGGCAGTCAGGCCAGAAAGGAGAAACCCAGGCCCTCTGGGGCAGCTGTGCTGCCAGCCCCTGGGCTCCCCGACAGCATCTTCCCTCGGGGTTCAGTGGATACAGAGGAGTTTCTTCCAGAAAGCACTTCTGCCTTTTTTTTTTCCCCAGGGCCTGTGTGGAAGCAGGGGCCACATGTGGATGGCTGCTCTGTGGGAGGCGGCAGCTGCCTAACAAACACACCCAGAAGACAGATTTACTACAGTGGATTCCCAGCCTGGCCTAGAGTGTCCAGCCCTAGGGGATAGCATGCCAGGGTCCCCAGTAGGTCTTACTGTTCCACGTGGTCACTCATCACCTTGCACCCAGATTCTCTCAGCCAGGTGGCCCAGGGCATAAGGAAGCAGTCCCTGGGGAGCTCCCAGTCCCACAAGGAGCCCTGTGGACACACTCCTAGCAGGGAACGGACGCCCCCCACCCCAGAGGTACTCTGGGGCATGTGCCCGGTGGTCTTCCTGGAAGCTGCAGAAAGTCAAGTTTCGACTGTGAACCCCACTGCCAGAAAAGCCTAACTCTGCCCACAGCATGGCCCACAAGCTTAGAGAGGGCAGGGCAGGTACCCAGAACAGAATTTGGGGAAGTGGTGGGAAATGGTGTGGGGTGGGGTGGAAATGGAAGTGGTGGGAAGTGCTTTCTGCGCAGGCCTGTAATCCCACTGTCAGGAGGCTGAGACAGGAAAATCACCAGTCTGGACTACAGAGTGGGATCCTATTGCAAGAAGCAAAAAAGACGAGAGGTAGGAGTACCTTGGCTTGTGTGGCACAGGAGCCTGGCCACACCCAGTTTAGGCTTCCAGTCTGTCACTGGGTCCCTCAGTGATCCTGTAATGCAAAAGGCTAGCCCAGAACCTACAGCTGGGTGCAATGAGAATGTCACTCCATTGGTGAAGCCCACAGCAGGTTGAATGTGAGACCCAGGGCGCCAAGGTCTCAGCATGACACGCACAGGGGCTCTGTCCTGGTGCCTACCGCCTTCCTGTTCCCAGCCTGGCAAAGGGCATCACCACCAGGCTGGCTCCTCCAGCCCCAGCCAGGCACTGCAACAGCTCGAATAACCTGGGCCCAGTCTCACTTGGGAGACCCTGAGCACCGGATGGCCAGCGAGGAGCTGCTCATCCAGCACTTCTCCGTGACAGTGTGAAGCTCATCTCTTCTTCCTGCTCGGCTCTGACTGAGGACAAGTAGTGATTATTACTTCCCCACTGAGACTAACTGCTGCGGAGACCACACGGTGACAATGACAATATCAGCTGGCATCTGGGACCCCCCCCTCCCCGGCTCCAAGCTGTCTTCTCTGAGACAGGAGCATCCATGCAGGAAAATTACCAGCTTAGCTGCTGTCAGGGGCCACCCAGGTGGATCCAGGCTTCCACCCACTCTGAAAATAGGGGCCATCAGGATGCTAGGAAGAGCCTTCCTGGGCCAGGCTACCTGGGGAAGGTGCTGGATAAAGTGCTGGGTTTTTTGTTTTTTGTTTCTGAGAGAGGGATCTTGCTATGTTGCCTGACTGACTGGTCTTGAAGTCCCGGGCTCAAGCAGTCCTCCTGCCTCAGTTTCCTGAGCATCTGGGACTAGAACAGGTGCGCAGGGCCCTATGGGTCTTAGCCCCGCCCACCCTCCACACATTCAGGCTGTGCCACTGGGCTACAGGTGGGGGACAGGCACTCCTGCCCTGGGCGCTGCCATGACTGCAGGGAGACCATGGCAAAAACACCAGGACAGGACAGGACAGGTCGGTGTCATGTCACTCACGCTGAGGAGGAATGAAAGCGTTGGGGGTAGGCTGGGGCTGGGGCTGGAGGCAGCAGCTATAACTGGCGATGACAGTGGTGGAAGGGCCAAGGGGAAGGAAGGTACGAGCAGGGTGTTCCTGGCAGGAACAGTGCTGAGCTCCAAGGTCTAGAGGGACCTTGGGTCAGGACAGGAAGCCCGAGGGTCAGGACAGCACCAGCTGCAGCAGGGACTGGTCAAGGCCAGAGCCTTCGGGAGGGGCTGGCTGGGTTGGTTTCTGAGGCCAATGGGGAACCTGCAAACCACATCCTGACAGCCAGCGCTTCTGTCTCCAGCGTACAGACCAAGGTCAAGGTCAAGGTGGGAGTCAGGGTCTCAGCAGGTTGTGTTACAGTATATCAAACAGAAAGAAACCTCAACACCCCCGGGATTGTGAGGCTCAGGGTGACTCCCAAGGAAGGCAGGTCACCTGCCGGCCTCAGAGCTTCCTGGTGGCTGCGGTCTAGGTAATCTTTAATCAGTGCCAGTTATAAGTCATGGTTCACCGAAACCTGTCTGAGCAGGGAGTGGGGCAGCCGTGGTGCTGCAGGGGCCAGCACAGGCCGCCCTGTAGGCCTCACAGGACAGCACACAATCACCCCCACGTCCAAATGAGCACACTGAGGCACAGAAAGGAGAGCTGCCTGCTGGACTCCTGGCCAGGGAGTGCTATCAGGCTGGCTCCAGAGTTACTTCAAGGAGCTTCCAGCTTTAGGAGTGTCGCTACCACACCCCGCCCCCGGGCCAGCACGTTCGGGCCCCACCTCTCTAAACATCCTGGGTCCCCAGCCCAGGCACCTCTGTCCCTCACCCACAGCAGCACCCAGGCCAGGCACATCCCTCACCTATTGCCTTTCCTGTTTCTGCTGGTCATGGTCCCCTCCCACTGACCGCATCATGCCTATTGGCTCCACCCAACCTAGAAAAGCAGCCACCCAGCCTTAGCTGTTCTCTGTGGACCTGGTCACCGAGGCAGATCCAGGACCCAAAGGACTGCAGCGACTACAGGCTGAAGCTGGGGTGGGGACCATGCTGGAGCACCCTATTGGTCTCCCTAGAGAAGGGACATGTCCCTGCCATACAAAACACCCCCACCCCACCCAGCCAGACTGGATTCAGTGCCACCCTCCAATCCCTAGTGGCCCAAGTACTCCCAGCTCAGGCTCCTGCCTCCTTCTATCAGCAAGCAGACAGTGGTCCCCAACGCCTGGCTTAGGTCACACTTTAAGATACCACGCCCTTAGGCAAGGATCTGGAAGCTTCAGCCTGCTCATCCACAGGGTGGGGCTGGGACATCTGCATCCACAAACCCAGCCAGCCACAGCCAGAGCCCTTCACGTGCTGACAGTCGCTAGCTGAGCTAGGTTTCGGTTCCTCCATTAGGCTCTCTGGACAGCACTGAGTCTCTGTGCCTACCTGGCCCTGAGGGCTCCCTCACCCACTGCACAGCCCAATGGAGGCCGCTTCAGCTCCAAGGTCACCTCCCGGAAGAGTAGGGTGCCGGGCCCTCCCATCTCCTGCCACTAGCTATCCCGCCCCCCAGGTCTAAGTGGTGATGACTTGACCCACTCCCCAGACCACACTGAGACACACATCAGCTGATGGCACAAGGATGGCTGATGGCCTTTGTTCAGGTGACATGGGAAGCCCCCAGCCACCACCACACCAAACCATAGGCAGGATCTTCCAATGCCAAAAGCCAGCCGATCTGTTCTCCAGCAAACTGACCCCAAACAAGCAGAAAAACACAAAGCCACAGCAAGGGCCTGGTGTGGGCCTGGCAAAGGTACCTTGCTGAGAGGGCAGGAAACATGGCCCTGTGCAGGGTCCCTTCCCCAAGTGCAGCTGGAGTCTAGAACCCAGTTTGGCCCAACTGACCACCTACATCTGGGTTAAAATCTGAAACCTGCTGCTGCTCTGCCATAGACTACTGGAGACCAAGTCAAAGGAGGTAGTCCAGTGGCCAGCCTGTGACCTATCAGAGGGCAGCATTCCCAAAGGGGAGGTTTTGAGCCAATCAGCTGCCCTCACTGGAGCCACACCCATACTCTGGGCCGGGCAGTCAGGAGATAGATGAGCCTGCGCAGTCAATAGCTAAACCTCAGGTTGGAGAGCCTGGGTGAGGGTCCCTGTGCCCTGGGGCGGGGGCGGGGGTCCTGGCTGTGGCCGAGAAGACTGAGAGTAACCTGGCTGAGCTTTAGTCCACCGATCTATAAAAGGAGCTGCAGAAACCACTTGGAGACAAGAGCTAAGACATGAGTATGGACTAAGCCTCTGCAGACAGGCAGCCCTGACTCCTCTTAGTGCCTGTCTTCTCTGCACGGAGCCTGGAGTCACGGAGCTGCACACTGTAGCATTTTGGGCTGATGTGCACCTATGATTTCAAAAGAGTGCAGCACAAGCTTGACATTTGTATCCGGTCACAGCCGAGGACACTGGGGGCGGAAGTCTGGTGTTCACTGAGCTGTTTTTCACCCATCTTTTGCACACACGGGGCATGTGGGTTCAACTTCCAGCAACGCAGCCCTGGACCCCAGACTCTGCCCAGCTCCGGCTTCTCGTGGCACCCCGTCCATGTTCACTTCCTACAGAGCATCCTGGCTCCACACCATACCTGTTTTGGAGAAGATGAGTTGCAGAATGAGAGGCCGCCTGGTAACAATTCCTGAACCTCGGGGAAGGAAGTCCCTGTGGGGGAAGAAAGGGACAGAAGTTACTCACATGCCTGACACTGGAGGGGCAGGAAGTGTGGCCACACGTGGCGGAGCAACTGTCTTGCAAACCTCAGCAAGGATGCCAGCCCCAGCTGGGCCCCGGGGGAGCCCAGGGTGGGGAAGGATGGGGACCAGAGACAGCACTGCTCCCCTCCACTCTTCAGAAGGCCCTCTCCCTGAGGGGTATCTAGGCAACGTTCCTGTGAAAAAGACACTGGGTACGGTGGCAAACCTCTGAAATCCCAGCATTTAGGAGGCTGAGGCAGGGCCAGGGAGATGGCTCAGTAGAATAAGCACTTGCCTGGCAAGCACAAGGGCCTGAGTTCAATCCCTTGTTCCGCAAAAAAAAGGCTGAGGCAAGAGGGTCCTGAACACCGGCCCAGCCCTGCCAACTTTGCAAGAGTTTTCTCAAAAGAAAATATTAAAAAGGGACTGGAGAGATAGCTCAATACAAAAGCCCTAGGTTCAAGCCCCAGTACCAAAGGAATATAAAAAATAGCTCAAAATATTTCCTGTTTTAAGTAACTGTCATGCATGTATGACATAAGCAAAATAAAAGGAAAAACGTTAATGACACATCATGGTGTGGTTTGTGTGTAAAGCAGACGAATTTACAGAGACAGAGAAGGTAGGTCAGTGGTTGCCTGGGGGTGGGAACAGGAATTGATTGCAAAGGGGGGGAGGAGGCCTTCCGGAAGGATGAGAATGCTCTAAACCTGTATTGTGATTTTACTGAAAGTCAGAACACGTGCACATGGCAGGTGATGTAAGTGAACCTATATACCTCACTGTGGAAATAAACAACCATCATAGAAGACAGAGGTGGCCAGCACTGACTTCCTCTGGGAACACCTGGTGAGAGGCAGTGTGAGAAGCCCACCAGTCACCCTCTGCCACTGCGAAAGGGAAACAAAAGTGTCTGTGGTCACTCAGGATCAGCATGTGCAGGTTGCTCGGAAGCCGCAGGGTGTGGTGGTACCCGCCTGTAATCCCAGCACTTGGGAGGCTGAGGCAGGAGGACTGCTGGGTACAGACGCTCCTGATGAGCCCAGGCAGCGCAGTGAGATCCTGCAGAGCACTGGACAACTGGGACTGAGCTATGTGTCCACACCCAGCAAGATAGCAGAGGATGCCACTAGCCAAATGCAGACCCAACGGGCACAGGGGGTGGGGGCAGGGATCCCCATATTGGGGCCTCCAAAGGAGAGCTCAGTGCTCCCTCCTGCTTCACTTGCCAATAAATATTTAAATTTTTAAAATTTTACAAAAGATAGAAGTACAACAGCAGAAAGAAAATTTCAACAGGTAACAGAAAAAAAGGGCTAGGAAGGGTCCTTCAGAGAGAAGGGACCCAGTCCACTACTAACCTGGGGAAAAGGGTATGCTTGTTTTTCCAGGGAATGCTAAATGACCTATTTGGGTACCACAGTATACTGTCAGGCTGCACTATGAAGCCAGATCTGGAGAAGCAGTTAACAGTAATGAGGTCAGATCCAGTCCAGGGCCTACTCAAGGAACTGACCAAATGGAAATCTAACGTCTAAATAGGTGATAAAATATGTAAAAATAGTTGAACTAAATTTTACTAGTATTCAGACAAAAATACAAAAATATAAAATATGCATATTAATTATAGAAAAAAGGTTTTATTCCTTCCAAATTTTTCTAATAAAAGATCAATGATAATTGACAAATAAAATCTGACTAGTCTATTTACAATTATAAATTTCTTTTTTTTCTTTTTTGTGGCTGGCTCAGCCCACCCTGGAGATGGGGGTGGGGCTGGTGCAGCGTGTGGTGCCTGGGATTGAACCGTGGTCCCTGTATGCTTGCCTAAGCAGGCGCTTTAGACCACTAAGCTATCTTGCTGGCCCAACAATTATAAATTTCTAAAAATTGTGATAGTTACTATAATTTAATTTGGCCAAAGATTTAAGCGCATTCTTGATTTTATAAGGATGTTTGTATGTTCTGTGCATTTGTTGATGTGTTTGTGTCTTTCAGAAGGATTTTTTTTTTTTTTTTTTTGGCCTACCCAGGATCCCTTAAGGGCAGGTCTGGTAAGGCATGAGGATCTGGGGATGGAACCACAGAATTCTGACCCTGACCGCTTTGCTTAAGCAGGTACCTAAACAGCTGAGCTAATGGGCAGGCTCCCTCTGTGTCTTTCAATGAACAGCTGTTCCTCTTTTTTCTTTTTTGATTTGTTCTAAATATAATTTGAGATATAGACTTAAAAACATGCTTTTTCCTAAATTACCAGTTAGTCAAAGTGATATCAAACTTGATTTATACACAGTACACCATAAAGTTTAAGCTATTTGAATAAAAATTCCCTAGTGTGGGAAAATATTATTAGAGAGGAGTCCAATGGATGAGGTGTGGCCAACCTTATTATTCACTAATGAGGAACTCCCAATAATCTCAATAGTTTCTTAGGAAATACCCTCAATGAAATGGTTACTGGTTAAAAGATAAAAGTTTTGGGTTTTGGGGTTTTTTTTTTTTTTTGTAGAACCAGGTACTGAACTCAGGTCCTTGTGCTTGCCAGGGAAGCGCTTATGCTACTGAGTCATCTCCTCAGCCCCTAAAAGATTAAGTTTTCCAGAAAAATTTACAATAAGGTTTTCTCTTAAAAAGTGGTTTTGGTACAAAACTAAATTAAGATGGAAAGGTTTTCACATGTGTATGGTAATTCATTATTGTTACTCTCATAGTATATTAAGGGTATTTATATTCAGGGGTACAGGTCTTTCAAAATGTAAAACAAAGATTGCTTATTGTGATGACTTCTCAGATTCAAACTCTGGCATTTACAAAAAACTTGTGAAATGTATCCCATTTAACAATGACTAATTAGATTAAAATTTTTTATGTAGTAGAGATGGTTGGTTAAAAGTGTTATGTCAAAACAAAAAAAAAAAAATTAAGTATATCACAAAATGTCAGCAGGACTGTCTTACTACAATGTTGTGCTGGGGAGATGGCTCAGTGGAATAAGCGCTTCCCTGGCAAGCTCAAGGGCCTGAGTTCAATCCCCAGTTCCACAAAAAAAAAAAAAAAAAAAAAAAAAAAAAATCTATCTTAGGGGCCAGGCAGATGGCTCAGTGGAATAAGCACTTCCCTCGCAAGTGGAAGGGTCTGAGTTAAATCCCTGGTTCCGCAAAAAAATTAAAAAAAAAATAATGTTGTATATGGTTTTGATTTCTAAATTTCTGTGTAAAAATATGTACTTTTTGTCTGTTAACATATGGACTTAATATTAGAATGCCCACAGGCAATTATAAAATGAGCTAACAGAAGCTTACAGGAAATACTCATTAAACAAAAAGGGAAAATAGTATGAGAATACACCTAGATTAATTGTACAAAAAGCTCTATTTACATTAAAATTTTTTAAATATACTGCTGAACAGATCTGCTGCAACAGACCATCACTGGACAAAATAAATACTGGAGAAGTGGTCTGGGTGCTAATTTGATAATAAAACCTAAAAAATAAGCAAATATAAATATTTTGATACAAAATAGTACCAACTTGTTTCTTGCTATGGTGGCTTGTTGTCATTTCTGGTAAGTATTAAAGGTGATTTTAGTCATTGGGTTTACATTCCAAATGCACCGCTCACTAGTTCACTGGTGGGATGCTACTATACCCATATGTAGCATCAAAAGTTACCCAGCCCCTATGGTGCCTGGGGACCAGCAGGGCCAGCAGAAGAAGGAACCAGAATCCCACTCTACAAGGCTGGAGTAGAAGGCTGGCCTATTGGTATTGGGAATGGATCTCATTGCTTAAAAGCAAGCACTGGGCTGGAGAGATGGCTCAGTGGTCTAAAGCACCTACTTGAAACAAGCTTGACAAAGCACAGGGACCGCGGTTCGATCCCCCAGCACCACATGCCAGCCAGCCGCGCCCCCTGGTGGGCTGAGC